ATCTGTTGACATTAAGCATTTATTTCTGCGCAAAATCCACAGAATACCTACCCAAAAGAATACCAAAGAGTCATGTTTAGGGAGCCGTCGGTGTCAACATGTGTTCAGGATTGTCTCGTTATAAATTTATTCGTCGATTTATACACCCTCGGCCACAAAAACGACAGCCTGTCGTGTGAGCTGATAATGGCCTTTCTGGCTACACATAGCTGAGTGGCAGTGTTAGTATGTAAAACTCTAACGACTTGGAGGCGGCCAAGGGCTGATATGTTTACATATCAGCCCTTGTACAGCCAGTGGCCGTCAAGAGCCGCAATAGCCCCATCGAGACGGCTCATCCGAAACAAAGATTAATCCGTTCGTCACACCCAACCCGATAGTGCAGCTCCCTGCAGTCGGTATACGCTGGTCAATGGTCATCAGGCTAGCAAATATTGAAAAAAGACGCCAGCGAGGCTTAAGCAATGATCAAACTACGTTGCTCAAGACTTGCAAGGCTTGCATGAAATGCGGAAAGGACCAATGACTATGCCCGAAAGTTGAGCGTTTTCAAACAGCTTGCCAAGCGACAAGAGCTCAGGACACGATCTTCGATCTCGACAATCGGCATGATTGCAAGATCAAGTCGGAGTTAAGTTAGTATTTATCTGTGACCTCCTCGAACACGCTAAGATCGTTGACGAGAATAACTTGCTTCGTTCCAATATTGTTTTGCTTTGCGAGCAAGATGATCTCTGGTGCGCAAAAACTGAGAAGGGACTTGTCACGGTGTTTGTGTTACATTGAACAAGAAGACATACGATCGTGTTATACGAGTATAATACTTGTATAATACCTCTGATAACTCGGAGAGAACTAGCTCGGCCTTGAACCAGGCGAGATTGACCGACCCGTCATCTGTCCGTACTTAACAGCGCTGTAACAGTGATGGTGCACTGAACAGATAAGGGAAAACGTTAGCAAACACACGCTCAGCCTACCTTCTTAGCCTGATTTCGACCGGATAACATGGTCCGGCGTAGTGCAGTAGTTAGAATAGACCACGGGCTTCAATAGCAAACCGTATCACAAAAATGAAAATTAAAAATAAAGATTAAAATGTAGAAAAGCCGAAAGCCCAAGAAACCGCAGGCAAATACAGGGGAAGGATACATTTGATTAAGCTCAACTCCCCATTAAATATATCTTACCTAAGCTGAGTTCACTTTTGCAATTATTACATCTCCCTCTAACTTTATTTCAGACTCCAGAGAGAGAGAGAGAGAGTGAGAGAGAGAGAGAGAGAGAGAGAGAGAGAGAGAGAGAGAGAGAGAGAGAGAGAGAGAGAGAGAGAGAGATGATATCTATTATCTAATCAACTGATTAACCCATTAAATACACCGCCGGCCTGTCAACTTCTCAGTGAGCTCAGCCTAACTGCTCACTGAACAGGCTTCCACCGACTATTCAAAGCTCAAACCCAGGCTCCCTACAACTAACGAGCCTTCTTCAAACTTTTAGCGATCAGTTCTCCTCGCCACCCCTCCCCCAGTTTACTATTGCCCGAGCACTTGCGTTCCTTGAGCGGCCAGAAGTCTAGATAACCCACGAAGGACAGTTTTGGAGCTAAGAACAGTGTCGTGTCAGTGGTGGTTAGTTAGTGGTATGAACTATGCATGTGCATAACCAATCCATAGATAACATGAATCATGAGTCATGCTATCTATGGGCGTATATGTATGCATTTAACCCGGCGGCTGCTGGGCCTCCGCGCCACCCGCCGGCCGCTGGGGGGGGGGGGGGCATATAGTTGCCCCCCCTTACTTCTGCGACGATATCGTCGCAACGCGAAAAGATAGAGAAGCGAAACTTTGCACACATCTTCCTGAATACCTAGCCGAGGTTGTGTCCAAATTTGGTGTCGATCTCATTTGAAATGACGTCACAGTGACGTCATAAGTGAAATTATAGATTTGCGACTCTCATATTCCTCACGATACATCAGATATATGGGACCGAATATAAAGGGTCGATTATTGGTCAGAAACTAGATGGAAGTGTAGTTAGATGTTTTAGGATGACAGCAGGTGCTGTCTAGTTCATTTACAGTTGAGTTTCATGCTCAGCGTCATCAGAAACGGTCCATATCGGAAAACGACAAAACTTTATGACGTCACTGTGACGTCATCTTAGGTGCTACAACCACCAAACTTTCGTCATACATTGCCTAGGTATTCATTTGAAGCTATGCCAAGTTTCACGTTCGTAGCTCATCAGGTTTCGGAGATATTTTACAAAACGTAAAGGGGGGACAACTTTATGCCCCCCCAGCGGCTCGTGGGTTAAGTTCACAAACCTTATTTCTTAATCATGAAAAACGCCTGCTCACATCTACCTCTACCAGTGCCGATTTCCGGTAAACAGCCGACACCCACGCAAGAACAGGCCATGTCGTTTTTTCACTTCTGTTCAGTTGAGCGCGAACAGGGCTTACCTACCTACTGCAAAATTTGTAACGTAATGGCTCAAACTAAAAACCACCATGACACACCAGTCTATGCGTTAAATTAAAGACCTTAGTTAAAATTCCGTTCAAGGTGTGAAATGTGAATGGACGGCACCAAACTGATCAGTCTCGAGCGCTGGGCCTATCTGCTGATTTGGCAGCTGGCGGGGTGGAAGCTAAACAGCGCGGATTTCCCATATTCTCGCTGGTATCACAGTGACTGACTGGTTTCACCGTATCGAACAATTTCAGATCAGAGACAGACAAAAACTGATCGTGTCGGTGCTGCGAGATTTTCAGACGCTTCAATGTCTTGACGTTTTTGCCCTTCACCCGTGCGATATTTTGTTATGAACAAAGACATAAGTCTGAAATTATGAGATTGTGTTACATTTAACATCAATGAAGGAAACATACCGTAATGTCCAGTTTGATTCCTTGAATCGGTAAAATTCCGTCAGTCGCATAAGTGCGTGCCGCACACTGTTCAAACGTGGAAAGCGTCGCTTCAATTCAACAGCTAACCCGCACTTTAATTCAAACTATCCCGAATTCCAAACGGCACCAATGTAAAACGCTGATTTCAACTGTCAATGACCCTCGAAGATGTCTCGCACTCTCCACTCCTCCCCCCACTGCATGGCGGTCTGCCATCCCCCTCCCCCTCCCGCAGCCCGGAGCGTGGCAGCCAGGGACGCGGCGCCGACCCCAGCACCCTGCCCTGCCCTATCGCGGCCACATGGCCGCCCGCTATCAAGGGCATCTGCAGCACTAAAGCGGCCCACCGGCTGGCCGACAACGCCAACCAAACTGGCTAGCAGAAACCAAAAGCATGCAACAGTGTCGAAGATAAGAGGACGCCAGAGATGCAGAAAGTTGCGTGGAAAATACACTGAAGCTGTATTGAAAATGAAGACGTACTGAACCCGCACCGAAGATGCACTAAATTTGCACCGAAGATACCCTGTATAGTGTATACGCAATAAAGGTGCACCAATGCAGCACGAGATGTGTACCGATAATGCACTCAATGTGCACTGATAGTGCACGGGAAGTGCACCTGAAATGCACCATGGAAAACTGCTCTCAGGAAGTTGAGCAGGCATTTCCGGTGAATTTTATCTGTCACAATCGGGTTAATTTTCATGCACAATTGTCCAGAGCGACCAAAGAGTATGAAAACGTGTCAAAGTCAAACCACTCTTAGATCACAGCACAAAGATATAGGCTTGGATATAGGTACCTAGGTATCAACATTTTATGCACACGAAAGAGGACACTGAAAGCATGAAAGTGAAGTGCACACCTTTTTGTCATTCGACGGAGGGGGGGGGGGGGGGGAGCATTACAGCATTGGCCAGTATATACCGCTTATAATGGTCTATGATTAAAGTATTGGAGCGAGTGACACATGCTTTATGTATGTGACCGTGCCATATATGTGCGTATACATACCTATGTGCATATTGGAATATACAATACGCATTGCTAATCATATACGCTAGACAACCACATCGCCACAAAGCGACTGGCAGACTGGCTACATGAACAAACTGGATCACCAGCTGACCGAAATGTAACGCTAACGCTACATGCATGTTCAGTGTTAACCTTCCCCTAACTCGGACCGCAAAGGACATTGGAGCAAAACAGATTAACAGAGATGATTGCAGTCATTAAGCCACGGTTGTGCCATGGATTGGATAGCCTACTTTTGCCAAATTGTCAGGGAACGCAGATTTGTTTTTCAATAGAAAAACACAATTCTAAAGAATAGTGTTTTGATGACAACAAACCTTCGGTTACATATAAAAACAGTCAATGAATGTTCCAGGATGTTTGTTATATAATGGTTAATAAGTGTATATCAACACTCAACAGGTATTGTTTATTGCCCGGCGTATTATGAAGGCCGGTTCACATGAAAGTCAGGGCGTTGCGATAGCCGGTGCCGCCGGCGACTGCGATATCAAAGGTCACGCTGATACAGAGAGAACCACCATCGGTGCGAGCATTATACGACGATTAAAATCCTCAATAAATCGAATGATTACTTCTAACACACAATCATATCAGTCCAAAGTGAGAATCCTTTATTTGTATTTCAGTTGAGACAAGTATAATAACACGGAACAAAAATGATAGACGAACGCGTTTCGGCTAAATCACCGTCATCAGCGTCTAAAAGGAGAGCAAGAGGAGAACTCTTGCTCTCCTTTTAGACGCTGTTGACGGTGATTTAGCCGAAACGCGTTCGTCTATCATTTTTGTTCCGTGTTATTAATCCTTTATTTGTTACAAAATGCCTAAATGTCAAGTACGAATTCATAATACATTGGTATTGATGAGTTGCCTGATGTAGGTATACCTATGTCAAGGACGGTGGTTGAACTATTGTGTGACAACTGACAAATCCTGGTTATGCCTGTCGGTATTATCATTATCTAATGGTGATTTAATGCTGAATTTGTTTTGTTTACCAATTAATTCCGTCCCCTGCCTTTTCAGTCTGCTGTGTCCCCCTCTCGAGCCGCCACCATGGGCAAGCCGCAGTCGGGATGGTCCAAGTTCCGCCTGCTGATGTGGAAGAACTGGACGCTGCAGCGGCGCCACAAGGTGCAAGCCGTGCTGGAGGTGCTGCTGCCGCTCATCTTTACCTCGCTGCTGGTGCTGATCCGGTCTCTGGCAGAGTCCACCGTCTACACGGAGCCCACGCTGTACACGCCCATCAGCGTCGACCAGCTGCCCAACAACAGGTGAGTGACAGCGCTTCTACATGGTCTGACCGGAGAGCCAGCGCCTGGGGAGTGCTGTGGCGTTGAGAAAAGGGGGCCTGATACTGATGCTGCTAAGGCTAATAACTAGCACTTGGAAACAGGCCGTTTAGTGACCTGGATTCTATCGTTTATTACGGTAGGTCCTGACCGAAGCATGGTATCAGGTGGTATGATGCCAGCAGCTGACCTGAGCGCCAACTTCCATATCCCGAGGAATTCGTCTCTTACCGAGGATGGTGGACAGACATGCGATGCGGCGAAAGATAAAACATCTAAAGGCGAACTTCGATTGGGGTTTGTTGTTACAAACATAATAACTTGTGTATTGTCGTATGTTCTCTTCATTTTCCACTCATAGTTTCTTTTATATAAGTTTCGTCTCAATGCATCGAGGGAATCTATCGTGGTCGTCACATATGAATCCAACGACTTTTCTTGTGTGTTTTCTGCCCGATGTTCCCAGCGTGATGACATAGATCACTCTGTTGCGTGGTTAGTTGCGCTCTCGTATGGTTCCCGCCCGGTGATGTCTGGTCTGTGCTGCGTCGTGCAGCATCTACTTTGTGCTCAGTACCGTCTTGCTATCTTGTTTGATCCTCACTTTGCCTGTGTGTGGTCCCTACTTCACTCCACGGTCCATCACCTCCCGTGTTGTTCGGCAGCATGGTGCCGGTGGCAGGCATCGACCCGGCGAAGGTGATGTCTGTGCTGGGTGGATCCTCCTCGGCAGGCGGCCTACCGGACATACCAGACGACGTCAAGGAGTGCATCAAGGATCTGCTGCCCGCTTCGTTCCTCACCAGCCTGGCGTTGGGCGGGCTACCGCAGCTGGAGAGGAGGAAATGGGTGGGCTTCACCCCCAACACCACGTTCAACGAAAAACTGATGGCAGACGTGCAGAAAAGGCTTGGAGGCTCCCAGCATCTGCAAGTGCAAGGTACGCAACACTCCGGAGCTCTCGGTGCGACGATAACACGACATGAGAAGGGACATTCGTTCATCATACCATGCAGATACCGTTAGCTTACACATATTACAAATGCTGAAGGAAGGTAACTATTGTGTACATATAGAAAGGCTTAATTAACTTAGGCACTCATGCTGTTTAATGTTTGCTTTGCGAAATGTCAACATAACATAGCGTTTGAATTTTTTTTTAGATAACTTTCGCTCAAATAGCATTGTGATCACGTTGGCATAGCCGGAGTTGCGCCAAGGAGAAGTTTGCTTTGTATTGACACATTTTGCAGCATTTTACACGATTGGATATAAGCGGATGCTCGATATCATTTAGCATTCAAAGCGGGCGCGAACAATCAACGCAGGTTAATCTTTCTAACGACTGCGACCGCTCGTCCATCTCCGCCAGATTTGATATGATGCCGAGTGCCGTAACGAAGGACCAAAGAAAGCGTCGTATCTCACTACTGTGAATCTGGCCTTCTACACAAACTTCCCATAGGTCTCGTGAACTCTCAAAGGAGTGGTTGTCAATCTATTCCCTCTCGCTCTGAGTGGGCTGGGTTCTTTGTAGTTACTATATACACATCCGTGTGTTTTTTCGTGTTATCCGAGAGTCGAACAGCGGCGGCGTCTTCAGCGGCGGCGATAACCGAAGGTGGCATCTAAGCTCAACGGTATGTATATCGTTGCAGGGTTTGCCACGGAGGAGCAGATGCTGCTTGGCCTTGAAGGGAGCCTGGGACAGACGATTATAGGGACGGGCGACCGACGAATGGCCGGCATCGTGCTCCCTAACGCGGACAATGTCAGCGACCTGAACGGCCACCTAGAGGTGATATTTCACTTAGTGTTGCTGTTTGTGTTCGTCTGTTCCCTAGTTGTTTGGGTCCTTGCTTGTATACTTCTTGGTCCTGCGCTTTTTGCAGTTGCTGAAGTTCATTCATTCGCATGCGGGTGCAATAGATCACATGATCAATCATTGATGGCATATGTGCGATTACCAAACCAGCTTAGAAATATAATGCAAATAACATGTACTCCCCTGAACCGTCGCCTTGCGATGGCGAGGAGCCGGCAAAGTGGCCTCCCTAACCCCAGCCCCCAGGAGAACTGACCGTCGCTATGTTCCCCCAGTTCAAGATTCGTCCGCGGATTCCGACAGCGGTGACGGCATTCAAACCGCCTTCGGTGTGGTACACCAGCCTGCAGTTTCCGCCGTTCCAGATGCTCGGGCCCAGAAACAAAGACGACAACGATGGAGGCTCGCCAGGTGCGCATAGCTTGACTTCGCAAAGGCATCATTAATTTGCGATCGATCAGTTTCTGCCGGTTTTATCTGGCCAGCTTTATGTGGAAATTTTCCCAACTCCGTTGGTCAATCACTGCCCACATCCTTCTTCCGCCAACTGTCCTTTGGAGGCGGTGGACTGACTGCCTTCTCGCTAACTGCCCCGCGGAGCCGCGGGGACTAATCACCGTCCGCCCTCTCTCGCAGGGTACTACCAGAACGGCTTTCTGGCACTGCAGCACGCGGTGTCGGCGGTACTGACCGAACGGTTGGCCAGCCGACCGGTCAGCGAGCCGGCGTTCGCGCAGCGCGTGCCCTACCCGGCCTACGTGGACGACCAGTTCCTGGTGGTGCTGCAGGGCTGGCTGCCGCTGGTCATCATGCTCAGCTTCATCTACCCCGCCATCAACATCGTCAAAAACGTCGTGGTGGAGAAGGAGAAAAGGCTCAAGGTGCGCTGACTGCTAGAATTTGCGTTGTACTTGCCCAAATTCTGCTATCAATGTAAGGGGTAGGGCTGCAATGAGTCTTCAAAAATCACACTCTTCTTGCATTGCATATCGATGAACTGCCGTTTCTGATTGTGTGTGTGTTTTTTCCGAAACTTGCCCCGTTGATCTGTCCTGCAGGAGTCGATGAAGATGATGGGGATGCCCAACTGGATCCACTGGATGGCCTGGTGGGCCAAGTCCTTCATCCAGCTGCTCGTCTCCATCTGCATCATGACCCTGCTGCTGATGGTCGATTGGTATGTGCACTTGGTGCCACATTCTGTTCATTGAACTTGGTGCTGCGGCACCTAGGGCCGTAGCACCATTGCATATCTCAACATGACTTGCCGCAATGTAGTCGCGTTACTTGAACGCCATACTGGACCCTCCCGTGCTAAAGACCACTGAACGATCGTACACCCAACCAGGCAGCGGCCTACGACTCTATGTGGTACGGTTTTGAGCGTGACATGCCGAGCCGTACCGTCCGTTGCTGATCTCACTGCTTGTTGATGTCACTGTTGATCTCTCGTCAGGTACGCTGGTCCGGAAGGAGAAGCGGTCCTGTCTCAGTCAGATCCTTCAGTCATCTTCGTCTACCTCCTGCTCTTCACCATCAACAGCATCGCCTTCTGCTTCATGATCTCAACGTTTTTCTCCAAAGGTGAGTTTCTCCAGCTGCTTGACCGCTGCAAATCACTGTTCTGACCATTGGGCGTTCGCTGATTATTGAGCGTCGACATGATATTGAGCAGTGGCGTCGCCACGGATTTTTTAGTGGGGGGGGGGGGGGGGGTCGGGTTTCCGGTCTTCGTCTTGATGGGTAGGGGTGTTTTTAGCGACACTCCCGTTTTTTCGTGTGTTGAGAAAAACCTCGGCGCGCAGCGCCACGAAAACAGCGGTATATCTTATTGTACATCACTGTTGCATCGTGCACAGAAATCAAGCACAGGTCACCTGAGGTCAGGTCACAATGCCATGTCAAGTTCAGTTTTCATGCCTCTAAAAACTGCAGCCTTGTCATTGGCTATATATTATCTCATATAAGTCTGAAATTTGTTGTAATGAATGGGATTATAAGTGCCAACAGTTCATGAATCTGGGATTTTACATCTGAGAAGTGAAGTCAGGTCAAATATCTGACCTCACCAATCATGATAAGATATGGGAAAAAGCACGAATGCCCTCTGCTTTGAACGAATATGCTAAAAACGCTAGATACTTTTGTAGCCATGGCACCTCTGCTCATTTTAGAGACAAGGTGCAGCTAATGACCAGTGGTCAGTGGTGACTCGAATGGTCAGTCATTAGGTCATCAAAGGTTTTTAACACATTTTCGACAACAACTTTTGATTGAGACGCTGTAGAGCGATGACAGCACCAGGGATTGTGTTCAGCTCAGCATCACAGATCGATCCATATGCAGCAGGTTCTTTTCCGGTCAGGACATGACCTTTACGTGATGTCAAGTTTTCTAGTTAAGTTTTTAAGTTCAAACTTCAAATTGTATAAGCCATGCGACGTGTTTCGACGAAACAAACACGATGGTGATAACATGAATATCATACACATTCACTGAATCATATGTTGTTACAGAACAAATGTTGCGGCAAAATCCGTCCGTTTAGCTGTTTGGCCTCTGTGGTACACAAGCCATAGACCCGAAGTCATATCTGAGGCGAAGTTGGCGAAAGAGCTTTAAAAAAAGCTATCGAATACGCTTTCTGTGTCGCGTAGCTCTTATTCGTGTTTTACGGGTCGCTAAAGTAAAACGTTTACCAACCTAACGCTGAGGTATGCTTACGGCCCCTGATCGAGGTACCGGAGGTAGAGCTTCGCGGAAAAGCGAGGATGCTGCCCGTGATGAGAGAAAGCCCAATTTCAAGGTCTTGGCCGGGTCATCATATAGGTCAACGACCAAAAGTAGGAAAAATCTGACCTGCTAGAACTTTGTGAGCCGTAGCTGTTATCGGGGTCCCACTCCCCAGTACGAGTTCGATGTTAGTTTTGAACAAAGATGTTGACTCCATGCATTTGGGGTAGATTGGGTCGGGTCAGGTCAGATCGACCAGCAGGCTTCCTGCCGGCCATCTAGAGTGGGTGACAACCACCAACGATAGCTTCGTAATATTTAACATAACCACCATTTATCAAAGCTACTTCTTATGTTCAAACCGGCGCTAAGCTCGAAATCAGTTCCAAAAACTACACTTGTAAGTGGAAGCAAATAAATCTAAAAAAAGTGAACCAAAGTTATCTATATTCGAATCAGGGCCAATAAATTTTTAGAGCACCTAGGTGTAAAATTGATTAACTCGAGGTCAATGGAAGTTTCGTTGCAATAGGGTCCTTTTTGCGCGTCTTATTGGGAAAGCCCGAGAGGGGTCCACCATCTGACCCCATTCCCCCTATGCAGGCAGGTCCGAGGGTAGTCAGGGCTGAGGCTAGTTAGGCACAGGTCTCGCGGGTTTTAGCGGTAGGTTTTGCACCTATAAAATTTAGTGTACTTCAGGCTATATCTTCGTCGTCTTAAGCTTTTAAGTGTTGAAGATGCGATCGACTTGTTGATTCACAAGCCGGCCATGATCGTGTAAAATGGCTCCATCGTAGATCGATTAGTTTCTGAGATATAACCGGAAATGTAAAAGTGCAAAACCTACCTCGCGAGAGCCGCACCTCGTAGTTACTTATACCTCATCCGAGGAATCGACTGCAACCATTATTTTGACAATCAGACGAACGGTTGGGTCAGTTTTGGCGCGCTCACTCCTTTGAGTGATAAAAGGGACTAGAATAGTGGCTTCTTTAAAATATTGTCATGCTGATGTTCCACGCCCACAGCTTATTGACCTATTCAACAAAACTAGGGAGCTTTTGAAGCGATTCTGAATCTGACGTTGTATTTGTTGATGTTGCTGACGCCAACTTCACAGACATGATAGCTAAAAAAAGCATGCTCAGCATCGCCAAAAGTGGGGGGGGGGGGGTCGACCCCCCCGGTTCTCACGAGTGGGGGGGTCGCGACCCCCGCGACCCCCCCGTCGGCGACGCCCCTGATATTGAGCATATTACGAACTTACGTAGTACAGAAAAAAACCTACCTGGATGCTGCGGTTATACGAACCGATAATGCCGCAGGTCTGGCACGCTAATACTGTTCGGAAATACACTGCTAACCATGCTAGGCTCCTATTGCCGGCCATTATCGGCATACGCTATGGGCGCCCTTACCGAGCTCGTGGGGGCGATGATGGGGCAGGGGCGAGGGGAGGGGGTGGGGCAGGTGGCTGAGGTAACGGATCAATGTAAACGAGTGCGCCCCCGGTGCACCGCTGACCCACGTGGGTCAGCGCATGGTGATTCGATGTTAGGTGCTGGTCGCTGCACCTTCAGTCGTCACGTACCCATAGCGTGCTCCGAGTCCCTGACGTCACATACCGAATGACCCCACAGCTGGAGCGTCCACCTCCTTCGAGATATTGGCCAGCGTGTGTGTTTCAGGACTTCATGTTGAGCTTGCGTTGGTCAATGCATTTACCTTTAGAGCTTACAAAAGTAAAGCATGGTGACGGGAAACCAGCATGTTCAGTGCGTGCCTTTTTGAGTGCAAAGAGTCAATTGGCCACTGTGACCGTTTGCCCACTGGGAATGGTTTTTCGGTTATTATTAGCTTTCGGTAAAACTTCAGTACAGCCGCATTACATAACCAGCGTACCGGTCACATGTGCACGCTGCGGCGTCAGTGAACAACGTTCGCTGATTAGATAAGTGTTTGATAAGCACACCTTGAGGCCGTCTGACCTCCCCGCGATGACGTCACTGTCCTGCAGCTAACAGCGCCGCCACAGCCGCCGGCGTGCTCTTCTTCGTGCTCTTCATCCCGTACAACTTCCTCTACCTGACGTACCAGACGCTGACGCTCAGCTCCAAGATCGCGGCCTGCATCATGAGCAACACGGCCATGGGCTTTGGCGGCATGCTGATTGCCATGTGGGAGGGCACAGGTATATCGGTGATGTCACAGTTGGGATCGGACTGCTTCAGCGTGTGGCGTCAGCGTTTGGTCCGTCCACGACGTCACGGTGGAGTGGATGACGTCAGTGATGGTGTCGGCTTCAGCTTACAATTTGTTCACCATGTCCTCACAGGCGGGATGACGGTGGCGGCCATGTTGGTTGAGTGTCAGGTGACGTCTTTTCCGTTCACAGTTATTCGTCTTGAGTCTTCTGGGCGTTTTGTCTGGTTGCCATAGCTACCAAGTGTTTGTGCAAAATGTCTGTTCGATCTATGTATTGTGTGTATCCCATGACTGCAGTCTGACGACCATTTTGCTGATCTGTTTGCAAAGTACATACCAAAAGTTATTGTGCTGATGACCTTGTGAACTTCCGCCCCGAAGCACGATCACATCACTGTGTCAGGGTGACTTGCAAAGACGCCAAGTCGTAGGACAGCTAGTGCACCACGAACAGCTAGTGCACTTGGATTCCGGGCCTATGACTGCCACGGGATCCAAGACATTGATTCCCATGACACACGAAAATTTACGCATACTTTCTCTCCCTTCCTCTTCCTATCATACTTTCTTCTCTCTCTCTCTCTCTCTCTCTCTCTCTCTCTCTCTCTCTCTCTCTCTCCTCTCTCTCTCTCTCTCTCTCTCTCTCTCTCTCTCTCTCTCTCTTTCTCCCCACTTTTTACATGATATCTCTGAATTACCGAGCTGTCCCGTCGGCAGCCAACACTGCGTCCACGGCAGCGGGGCTACTGTGGTTCGCCACCGATATCCCCTATCGGGTCATGTGGAGGAGACTGGACTCCATGTCCTTCCGACAGAAGATATTCTGCTGTCTCCTCGCCAATTCCAACATGGGGATGGGCGGCCGCATAATAGCCCAGTATGAAAGCTCAGGTAACACTGCATGGGCTGCAGAGTGCAGACTCGAAAGGAATCGGATAGAATCACACCGCACACGCATGCTAACTATTGGCACTAGCTGAGACGAAATGAGCATGGTAATGACATGACCGCATGACGATCCAGCGAATGTCGTTGGCATGAATCAATGGTATGTTCATTATATGCGGTATGCTCTTTCTTCACATAGCTTCCATAAGGAGGGAATCAAGTTATCTGGAGCACGAACTGCACGAGATAGGTGTTTATAAAATGTTTGCCTTCGGCAACTCTCTTGCAGCAGCTTCAAATACCCTGGGGACCTTTTCATTGTTCATGTCTTTTGGCAGCCTGGCAGCATTTATTGACGGTGAGTAATTGTTTAATGTTCGCTAATTGTATGTGTTTTCTCCGCAAGTCACCTCACGACAGATAAGTGCATGTTTGTGCCTCCGTTCCGTTTGTCTGCTATGAATGTTTTTGCTGTTCGCAGTATCCGCTCATCTCTGCGCCGACCAAAGCTGCATTGATCACACCGGGCTCTCGGTAATGGTTTTTGATGTTCTAGCGGTCATAATATGAGATTTTTTAATACCTAAATTGTTATTTCATTCCACGTTGTCGCATGCTGTCCACTGCCACTCGGAGCACCACTAGAAGGCTTACAACTTATGTTCAATTCAGTACATTAATTGAGCTTCTTTTGACGTGAGAAATAACAATACCTATGACTATATTGAGCTAGGGTAGAAATACAAAATCATAGGTATTGTTCTTTGCAACTGAATATCTGCATTTGGAGGGCTGTTGAACAACTCTCATTCTGTCTTGTTCCGTGCATTCATTTCTTACGCGTCTTTCAAGAGAAAAGCCAGGTCCCATTACTCTTACTGAAAGTTAGAAATGAACGAAATAGACCTAAGCTGAGACATAACTCTGTCGTTTGCGCTGTCCCAACAGGGGAGGGTATCCAGTGGAGCAACGTGAACCGGGGCGTCTCACCCGACGACGACTTCAAGATGAGTCACGTTTTCAGTGAGTACCGACGTGAATCAGGGAGGCCTTACGTGCCGACTGGGCATGAGGCGGCACATGTGCGCACACAAGCCGTGGAAACGTTTCTACGCTCAATGTTCATGCTTACGTTTGTATGCATGAACATCGATGCAAACGTTGGAAAAAAACGATCCAAACGTTCATGCATGAATGATGTATTAATGTCTTGCAGATGTACTTCCTTATTCATGGTTTGATTTCGGAAACTTCGATTTTATTGGAAAATCAATGACTGCTGAATCTGACTTTGATTTGACTCAGATGAATGACCCTTCTAAATACTGCCCAATTCTTAATACCATTGCGGTGCTGGTAACGCATTTCAACTCTGTCGTCTGTCGACTAGGTCTTCAATAATCTAGTATTTTGCTACACAGTCACAACGGATCATATCGTTCGTTCCAAGGACGACCAATGGGGCCCCGACCGATTGACGTCATGTGAAATATTTAGCACCGGTGTAAGGAAATATATGCATTCTCAAAAATGATTGTTTGAATAGCCGGTGAGCAGCCTTAATTATCTTAATGCTCGCCCTGGCAGGGGGGGGGGGGTCGATGCGACCCCCCCTAAGGTTTTTCGAAGATAGCGTAAAAACGGCGGCGCGCAGCGCCGCCAAATTTGACACAGCCTATGGGGCAACCTTTTTACATATGACCTGAAAATTTCAGGTCCGGGTGACCTTGGGTCAGGTCACCAGGTCAGAAAAACCCGGTACAAGGTCATGGTCAAATTTCAATTTTCTTTTTGCACCTGTCCAACTCACAGTTTTGGACTGATTTCCTTCAAACTTTCAGGATGTGCTAAGTTCACCGAGTTGTATAACATATAGTTCGGGTTTTTTGAGGTCACTGACCTGAGGTCAGTTAGAGGTCATTACGTCGTAATGTTAAATGAACTATCCCACCTTCTAAAATGTTGTTAAAACCAGTTAAATTGTGCCCGACTTTATAGATTGGATGACCAGGAACACGGTTCTGGCATTTATTTTTCATTAAACATCTTAGGCTTCCCATATTCCAAACACAAACTTTCAAATATGTGACGTCACAGCCCAAAATTACCTCCTTCCCCAGGCCACATTACTGTCATAAAGCTGATTCTTTTTACTCTGTAGGCACCACAACAAAGTTCAGACCAAGTTTTAAGCGATTTTTCAACGAACAAACCCATTTAAATCAGAATGACTAAACGAGGTGACGTCACACTAACGGTCGCTCCATGTTGAAGATAGGGCCTTGCGCAAGGCCCATTTTCAAATGAAGGGAACGAATTTCTTCAACACCAAGAGGCCGCGGGGGTTGCAACCTAGATAGATAGTGGTTTCTGAACCTCGCCGAAAACTTGGCTATCTCAACTCAAACCCCATGTTAAAGGTGGGATAGTCCCTTTAAGCCTATGGGAAAATACTAAATTCGGAAAATACTGGAGATATCCGCTTCGTTCTATCACTTTTGTGCTTTGAAACCACAGTACTTAACAGCAGGTCACTTGGTGCTTCTTTGTTTGGTGTACTTATCCATGGGTCAGGTCAAATGAGGTCAACTGAGGTCAAATGACGTTTTTGCCAATAACTTGGCACATAATGACGCTAGAGCTTAAAAATGGTGTCATTGTGTTCCTGGTGATCAGCCGAATCGAATGATATGCAATATGATGCAATTTGGTTAACTTGAACTTAATTAATTAATTAAAGTTTACTTAAAATTAAGAAAAACTTTAAGTACACTTAAGCAAGCTAAAAAGTATATCATTCGACGCGCCTTGACGTGCTGAGTTCACTGGTGCTTTTCTTTTTGCTCTATCTTAATTAGATCAAAAGTTATAAGCGAAAAACTTTTGACCTGTTTTTAGCGAAATTTTTACATTTATACCCCCCAAAACCCCCCTAAATATTGACCTAGAGCAACCAAATTTGCACAGGGGCGAGAACTCCAGGGGGCCCACCTACCTACCAAATTTGGTGTTTCTAGGTGCCATAGGAGCCAATCGCGAGGGGGGGGATCGCATCGACCCCCCCTGCCAGGCCGTGTTATGAAAAATGCCCTGCCAGGGCGAGGGTTAAAGTGCCAAGTTCAGTGAACATTTGTCAATTCCACCAACACCACTGAACCTTCCTCCTTCTATGATAATCCGTGACTATTTTTTATTTTGTCGCACATGAGCCGACGCATGCCGACGATACCGTTGGCCTTATCAGGTCCGAACTCTGTCCCTTCTGGAGCTTGTAGCTCAATTTTTCACCACTGCATCCATACGACACATGACGTCAGCATCGGCTGCTGACCTCGCTCGGCCAGCAAGGCCGCCGCTGCCGGACCGGGGCGACGCGACAGGGTCCGCTGCCGCTGTACCAATCGATGGCACCTTCATTGTACATTCTTCGATCGGGACTGAATGTGCAACTGACGACCCGGTGTCCCCCTGTTAATGAAAAATGGCCTAGTTACCAACCGATCGATCCATTTATTGCCAAACAACGGTCATTGTCAAGGCTGTACAGTTGACACTTGGTAATAAGTGCGATAAGTAGGTACCTATTTGGTTTTTGTTGTACTTTGCCTTTTCCCAAATAGCGATGCCCAGGCTCATTATCGTTAAATTACTGATGCACTCGGTCATTTAGGCCTAGAGAGTGTGAATGACCTGACCTTATCAGGTCCGGTTTCAGTAAACTCGTATGTTAAGTAATAATGCTGTTGATCAATACCACTGGCATTATATTTTTGATTCGCTGTCTGAACTGTATGCTTTAAGTTAGCGCTATGGGCATTGGGTTCTGTTCTATTACTGGTATGCTGATCCTGCTAATGTTCCATAATGATGTTTGTGGTTGACAGCATTTGATACAGTCTCAGCCGCACTGAACTGCCAATGACTTTCCAGTGATGTTTGTGGTTTCAGCCTCGGTTTCAGCCTCCCTGAAATCCCTTTTTTTCCAGTGATGTTTGTGGCCTCAGCCGCCCTGAAATCCCTCTTTTCCAGTGATGTTTGTGGCCTCAGCCGTGCTGAAATCCCTCGCTTTCCAGCTATGTATGTGGTCTCAGCCGCCCTGAAATCCCCCTTTTCCAGTGATGTTTGTGGCCTCAGCTGCCCTGCTGACCCTTCCTTTCCAGCTGTTTGTGGTCTCAGCAGCCCTGAATTCTCCCTGTTTTCCAGTTTTGTGGTCTGAGCTACACTGACCTGCCCTTTTTAGTGATGTTTGTTATCTTAGCCTAACTGATTTTCCATAATTTCCAGTGATGTTTGTGGTGGACACTGTGCTGTACCTGCTGGTTGCCTGGTACGTGGAGGCGGTGTTTCCAGGAGAGTATGGTATCGCCCAGCCCTGGTACTTCCCTGTCTCGGTGAGTTAGTTAGCGCACCGTTACACCCTTTTACCGAGTAAGTGCACCACCCGTATCAGTGCTAAGTGGATATGTCAACAGGCTCAGTTTTTGCGGTAAAGTGTCCCATCTTTTCCGAATGAGCTAGTGCGCCAGCAGTTGCTGAGCCGCGAACAGCTATTTTCTTTTGTCGCTCATTTACTAGAACAGGGTGCGTCAGCAGTGATTTTCTGCTGGCTCGTCTCGCTTAGGCTGCGATACTTGAGAGCTGCCCTTTTCCCAAGCTCGATGCGGGATAAGGTGTCACATCCAATATAGGATATGTTTCACTGAACAGCTTACCCCATCAGCTCAGGTTTTGAGAGTAACTAAATTCTGGCAATGCCTGCCAACAATCGAGATAACGCCACAGTGCATTCCCCGCATGGATAACCTAACCGTATATCTATCATATATTTAAAGTCCGCTTATTAGGGCAAGTACCTATAGCTTCCAAGGGAATCGGGTCGAATCTAATTAGTTTCGATGACCTGACATTTCACCTAAACATCATTTGCAGAAGCGTTATTGGTTTGGAAACCAGCCCCATGACGACGAAACGGTTCCGGTCAACAACAACTCCGAGAGGGCCGACTTCTTCGAGGCCGAGCCGGCGAGCGGGAAGGCCGGGATCCGCATCGACCAACTGTCCAAGGTGGGTGCTGCTTTATCTTCGGGGGTCATCGACTGTTATTGACCGAGGACCATCGAAACTCCCTGCTTACGGTCATAATATACCACCTTGGGATTTCAAAAAGGAGAATAGTCCTTTACAACAATCTAGGGTCATGATACTCTCATAATGACAAAACACAATGCACTATCGCATGTATTCAGTAAGGCGGCTGTGTCATGCCGTGCAAAATGTATGACGTCTGCCTATTCGCTGCACTTTTCAGAGATTCTCGAACGGCAAGCTAGCGGTGAATAACGTATCGCTGAACATGTACGAAGGCCAGATCACTGCGCTGCTGGGTCACAACGGCGCCGGCAAGACGACCACCATGTCCGTCCTAGTTGGTAGGTGACGGAACTTAAACGCTTGTCTTGCACTCATTGTGTGATGGGTTTACTCGTTTGTCATGGGCAAGTGATCCTCTATGGATATATGTATAGAAAATGAAGAAATAGAGCAAATATATGTTCGTACATGAATGTCACGTGATCATGACCACCATGCGTCCGGATAGCCTACGGAGCTACGTGTAATAGGTAACCCAGGCTGAAGGCAGTATAGCGGCGGAACACCTTCAATTAAGGGGGAGGGGCACTGCCGACTTTTGGTCCCATTCTTTCCATGCAACGCCCATAGGGCTAATGTTAAAATGCCAAAGCCCAAAGGGGGGCACGGTGCCCCGGTGCCCTCCCCGTTCCGCCGCCTATGACCCAGGTGTCTGCGTGTGCGTCCACAGGTCTGTTCCCTGCCTCCTCGGGTACGGCGCTCATCAACGGGTACGACATTGGCACTGAGGTGGACGAGGTGCGGGCCTCGCTCGGCATCTGCCCCAGCACGACGTGCTCTTCGACGAGCTCACTGTGGCCGAACACATCCGCTTCTTCTGCACGGTAAGAGGCGAGACAAAATAGCGGGACTTGCGCCATTATTATGTGTAAACGTTCATTGTGGACGACGCCTGATTGGGCTGTTCGTTCTAATCTTGGGTAGTTATACGGTAATATGACGAGCCAAAGTAACGGGACTCTGCAAACATTGCAAATTTGCAATCATTATAAGATCGGTTCACCGCTTATGGAAGGAAATGCTTGGCTGTGGGATTTCAGTTCTTCTTGCATGTATTTTATTTCTCGTGTAGACAAGGTATAGCGTTGTGGGGATTCCGTTACTCATTGATGCCAATCAATCTGCAATGATACCCTAGACCCAGAATGAAACTTCAATAAACGAGCATGCACTGGCGGAAAAAAAGAAGAGGCACATTTCATTGAATGTTTTGGCATAGCTAATCGAAAAGACTAAAATTGTAGCATTATGCACACGGCAGTTCATGGAAATGATCTCATGTGTCAGCCATCTCCTTCACTCTCAAGTCAAGTTGGCTGTGAGTGGATAATACTCCCGTCAGAGGGCGTCGCCGGCTATATTCCTCACTACCGCGTTGGCGTTTTGCCCGTCCTGCACCTGTGCTGAGGACGCTCCGAGGGGCGCGCTTTAGCCTCGCGGTCAATACACTGCGACAATGAGCGGTAGTCGTAGCAACCGATACACCGATGTCCAATCGCCGGGGTCAATGTCAACTCACATAGGCGGGTTTTGGCGAAGCACGGTCGGCTGATTTAGCTCTCCGCGCCTACACGTATTTGCGGTCGGTGAGATGAGAAACGCTTTCCGGTCCAGTCTGACTTATTTGTTGCAAATGACATTGTACTGAACGACGTAGGCTCGGTCGACGCTGATAAATGCGATTGACGTCATCATTTTCTGGGCTAATGTATGCTCCGGACCGTGCATCGTTGCTAATATTAACCGTGTAAGTGCCATGCTGCTGTTCTGGGGAACCATACAAAACTGTTGTATTGGTTATCGCTAAAACAGAACGGTGGGGTAAGGGGTCAGATAGATAGGCAAAAATGAGACATCTTTTATAGTTACTTACTTGTATGACCATCCAGTTACCACATACATGCAATAGACACACATATTTGGACAAGGTCCGACTTACTTTAGGTGCGGCGAAACCTATCTTTGAACCAAAAGTCCCGATTAGGCGACGATGGGGTACCTCCCGCATTAATCCGTGCGGCATGACCATAATATAAGAATGAAAATGATTGATAAAATTCGAAGCTTCCGACTCACCTGGCCTAAAGTTAAAGCTAGCTGCGTGAGCGTCCCATAACCAATGTACGCGGGAAAGGAAGGGGTAAGTTGCTTACTGACGCGTTATTGAAACTAAGCTTTCGGTTTCATTTAACCAATAGGTACCTATTTACCACGGTTTTCCTTGTTCATCCTTTCGTTTGTAAATGTTTTGCATATTATTGCTTTGCGAAAAAGCTCTAACAATTTACATATAGACGGCTGTTTATCAAGCTGACGCTTATGCTCATTTTTCTTTGCTTCTCAGCTGAAGGGATACGATGGCGATTACCGAGAGGAAATCGACAACATGCTCAATATTCTCCAGCTGGAAGACAAGCGAAACGCACAGTCACATACGCTCTCAGGTAAGAGAGAGATAGAAAAAAGATGTAAAACGTACACCTCGCAAGCACACACAGGTGTAACGGGCGATGGTCAAATTATCCACGAAACCTAATGCCGTAACCGCCACAAAGGACTGAGGAGTGTGTTCCATTCCAGGTCGTGGCTGAGCAGTAGACTCTTCGTCCTCTTCAGTCGGCTCTACTCTGCACTTCCTTCTCCCTCTCTCCCTTTCTCTCTCTCTCTCTCTCTCTCTCTCTCTCTCTCTCTCTCTCTCTTTCTCCCTCTCTCTTGCCCTGTCCCTTCCCTCTTTCATTCAACCATTACCTACCTATGACGTAATTCTTAGTTCTTACGCCACTGGTAAAACCCCTTGTGGCGCAGAACGTTTTTAGACCATCGTTTGCTCGGGGTTTGCCGAGATATCAGCGGCCAGCGCTTGCCGCTCATGTTCCTGATTAGGTTCCGACTTCTTCTAATGAGATTCCAGTTCAGAGGATAAAGTTCAGTCTCATATTTAGGCACGGGAAGCACCGTCAGGAAAGAGAGGAAAGCACGTGCTCGTTCATGCTTCTTGGTACACGGTGTTTTTGTTGTTTGCACGTGCTCTTCCAAGCGGCATAACTATGAAGACGATCTGACGACTGGTCTGATTCGCTTATGGCGGTATGAAGCAGAAGTGGCTAGCAAACTTATTTGGGCTGTTGTGTCTGTATGTTCCGGGTGGTATGAAGCGGAAACTGTCTGATATTATGTTGGCTAACTCTGCGTGTTCCAGGCGGTATGAAGCGGAAGCTGTCTGATATGTGTTCGTTAACTCTGCGTGTTCCAGGCGGTATGAAGCGGAAGCTGTCGGTGGGTATCGCGCTGTGCGGCGACTCCAAGGTGGTGCTGCTCGACGAACCGACCAGCGGCATGGATCCGTCCGCGCGCCGCTCCACCTGGGACCTACTCCAGGTGAAAACACGTCGTCCACTTGTATCTCTTAGCGTGTTATGACATGTGACAGCTTATCCGCTTCATTTTTGTCTTAGTGTGTTCGCCAGCTGTCCCGTATGCCCTCCCTGTGATGACGAATATGCCGCGTTTTGCGCCACCAGCGAGAGCGGGCCGGTCGCACTATGCTGCTGACGACTCACTTCATGGAGGAGGCCGACCTGCTGGGTGACCGGATCGCCATCATGGCGGACGGGCAGCTGCAGTGCTGCGGCTCGTCCCTCTTCCTCAAACGCAAATACGGTAATGAGAACTGGTATGCGGCGACCTGCCATATATTGACGGATACTGCGGACAACGTGTTTTTTTCCATGCAGTATAGTTGAGTAATGTATCAGATATCAGCCAGGGACGCATCGCGCATCATCATCTACATATCAGATATCAATGACGCACCAAAAGTCATCTGGTGGCGTCGCCACGAGCCCCATATCGTTTTACTTGTGTATGCCAACGTTGAATTGATCCCCCGGATCTTTTTTCACGCGCAGGCGCTGGCTACCACATGGTGATTGTGAAAGAGGAAGGCTGCGACGTGGAGAAGATCACCAACACCATCCAGCGATTCATCCCAGACATCGAGTATGACCAGAACATCGGTACGTTCACGCTTCGTCGTTAGAATCGCTCTCAGTCGCTCTCGATTGACTCTTACCCTCTATAGTTTTGACTCGATGATAGCTGTTATTCGACTCTCACTCTCCTCTCTATGGCTTTTGGACTCATATTTTGAATGTCACTCAGCTTTCCTATGATTCCTCTTTCTCAGATCGTCCTTTATCACTCTTACGTCTGTCTGAAATTTCGGCTATCTGCTTTGCTTATTCTGCTAGCTGTCACCTGCCACTCAGCTCTCACTTAGCTTACTCAGCTCTCACTCAGCCCTCACCCGGCTCTCACGCTATTCTCACTCGACTTACCACACCAGGTGCCGAACTGTCCTACGTGCTGCCGAACGAGGCGTCGGCAAAGTTCGAGGAGATGTTCACTGAACTGGATGAAAGGCGTGCCGAGCTCAAGGTGTCCAGCTACGGCGCCTCCATCACCACCATGGAGGAGGTGTTCATCAGGTAGGTGACCAGCATCATCATCATTGAGTTCTTCGTCAAGAACGGCGATGAGATTGCGAAGAGGAGCTATAAATGGCAAGCGCAGTCGTATAATGAGCCAAAACAGCAAGGCATAAGAAGCCATCTTGGACACGGTTTTTGTCGGATGAACTGGATGAAGAGAATTTCAATCATCCCTCTCACTACAACCTCCCCCTCCACCCGTGTCTGTTCCCTCAGGGTGGGCGAGCAGTCCAACCCCAAGGTGCAGGAAGAGCTGCGCCAGCGGTCGGAGATGGCGAACGGTGGCGCAGGGTCGCGCCAGACCACGCCGCACGGGCAGGACAACGTGGGCTTTCTGCCTGACGTCGAGACGCTGGACGTCTCTGGTGCCAACGGCACTCACGAGATGAAGCCGACGCTGGCGAACTTCGGTAGGTTACGCGACGTTTGCTGCCCGTGGCAGGCTAGATGTTCTCGGTTTGTAGGTTTGTAGGTTTGTTGGTTTGGAGGTATGTATTGGTTTGGGTTTATTACTCTTTGCTGCAAGCCGAGCGTGGTACAGCATGCTGTATATGGTGATCGGCAGTTTAAGAACGGTAGATGTGGTTAAGATTGATTGGTGCATGTCTGAAATCTAGGTATTGCTAGGTGTTATAGAATGTAGAACCACGAAAGAGAACCGGTGGCACGCTGCACGAAGAAGATCCCTTGTTTAATGTTTAATGCACGACTATTTGAATAAAAGTCATGCTCGTCGTTTAGTTTCGATGTTTAAATAGATCGATTAGAGTCAAAGGAAAGTAATCCTCGGACAAGAAGATCGTCTGAGGAGATGATTAAAAAAGGTGTTGCTCTAATCACTTCTGACGAGCACCAATCATGCTTTGTCAGAAATATGGATGCCTTTTTTTACCGAAGCAAACACCATGGAAAAATTTGCTCCTCCCTAAGGTGTCAGAAAAGCTGCTGAAATAAGGATATGCGTTTAAAGGATTCGCAGCAACCCACTTTTAACTTCTCTTTTCTCATGTAAGGAAATCCCCATCCAAAAATCCTTGAAGATCCAATCCATTGAGGAGTAACTTATTTGTTAGGTCATGTTGAGCGTTACTCGTATTTTACCAACTCTGCCTACTGGATAACTTGGGACTGCGTTTACCAGTCATCTTCACTCTCATCTATCTCCGCAGCAACGTCACTTTTGGGTGCACCCACTATTTTTTTTTTTTTTACTTCGGAGAACCGGGCTATACCTATTGTACAAAGTTTTTGCATTTGGCGACCTTTGCTCATTGGCATTTGGAAACGGCATGCTTTAGGCCCACAGTTTCTTCTTAGGAGTGCATGTTGCATGTTTTGGCTGACTCTGTTACATGTCTATGTTTTTCAATAGGATCAATGCGGTATATGGAGGAAGAAGAAATTGAAATGGTGCACAGAATCACCATCGAGAAAGGTGAGTCACTGTCGACGAAGATGAAAATATTTTCATTCGTTTTTAGCTTGAAACATCTCTGGCAGCTAACGCGAACGATGTGCCGTAGGCAAACGACAAGCGTTGAAATCAGTTCTATCGGCTACTATTGTTATCACCGTTTATAAATCCTGACCAAGGTCGCAAAAGTGCTCTAAGACTATCTCTCATGATCCGACCGAATGCAGGCCACTTTTTGTCAGTTGTCATTTGTCTGTACTTTCACCCGCAGAGCATCTGCCTTACGCATCCCTTCCTTGATCACCCGTCCCCAGCTCCAGGCTGGTCCCGTAACTGCTGCATCGGTTGCAAAGATCAGCCCGTGGTGATCTTTGGTGTGGGTCGGTGGCCTGCTCCTTTAGATGGGTTGAAAGAGGCGGCCACCAGTGGGTGGCCTTCTGCCCATCCACTTAGCCTCTGTCCAGTGTCTCTTCCATAATTATCGCCGACCGTATCCCTGAAATGGCCTCATTTGTCCAAAATAAGCCAACATTCCCAAGGATAATACCTATAGTCGCTTGTCGGCTGTATTTGTGCAGTGTGCACACATGGAGACTTATGCGTTTGATCGCCAACAAATGTGTAATTTTCCTTGCCGACAGCTCAACTCTCGCAAGATGCTTTCAGCAAATGATGTTCCGGTTTTCGTACTTCTGTAATTGGTTTGTTTGCTTGTTCTGTTGAGGCCTGACATTGACCGCACCACACGTGTTTTCAGTGCCCCAAGAGCGGAGGAACACATCAAGCTTCATTCTGTTCATTCAGCAGTTCTACGCGATGCTGGTCAAAAAGACGCTCTACTCGATCCGCAACTGGGTACTGACGCTCGTTCAGGTAAGGTCATATTCCCTATAGCGACACGACCCATTACATCGTGTTTCAATCGTACTTTCGTTTCTATGTCTTGTCTATTTCATGTTAAAGGAGCGGCAAAATCGAAGAAGCTATTTTATTCAATAAGCTCCGACTGATAAGTGAGGATGTGCCGTCTGCCGGGGTTTGCAGTGTACGTTCATGCATATGATAATGCTGACGTGGTGACCGGCGTTGTAAGATGGTTTCCGAGGTCGTACAATGATTCCATTGTCGATTGTGTTTGCAGATTTTCCTGCCGATCTTCTTCCTGTCGATGGCGCTGCTGGTCATCATGTCGTTCCCAGGACTGGCCGACGACCCTCCTATGGAGCTCAAATTCACGGCAAGTAAAACATGGTAACACTGTGACGCTTAGATGTGGACCTTGGAACTTTGGATGATCACTGTGTTTATAAAAAAGGTTGTTGGACGTTGGTCTTCCGCTGTCGCTTTATTTACTCATGCTACATATTTGTAATTCTGTTATAGTGTGATGACAAAGCCAATTTAAGGGATTGTTTAATACGGTGCTCATTTTTCCCCTGCTCTCATCTCTTCCCCAGAACTATGACGGCACCAACACCCCCGTGTGGGCCGAGCCCGGGGTGCCCGATGCCGAGGACCTGGCCGCGTTCGTCTCCACCATCGACGACACGGTGATCCAGGTGGTCAACACGACCCAGTTCGACAACCTGACCGAGTACCTGCTGGAGAAGGTGGGTCTGAGCGGGCCGACAGCTCACATTGGCAGAGCCAATGCCCTAGACAGGGGTCAAAGCAAATCAGGCTAGAATCTTAACTGTGAAAACAGAAGCTATTTGCCACGGCATTGGAGCGATATCTGGACCATTGCTAGAACGCGTGAAGCCGATGCATTCATTCGAATTTCATTGCCATCCTGGCTTACATAGTATTCACCGGCTGTGCTGTGTTCCCGCAGACGCTGGAAGACGTGCCCGGTTTCAACCAGCACTATATAGCCGCCGTGGACCTGACCTCGGACGGAGCCTCTGGTCTGGCCGTCACGGCGGTGTTCAATAACCAGCCCTTCCACTCCGCCGGCGTGGCCATGAAGGTACGGTGGCGGCTCTGGGCGTTACATGTGATAGACTATGTATGCAAGGTACTGCTATGAATACATTGATAGTCGACTGATGTGACAGTAGGCTGATATATCAAGAGACTGACGGGACAAGCACTGGTTGATGGGTCGGATGGCATTATTTCTAAGTTCAGACATGATGAACATTCAAGACACAAATAATATCGTAGTAGTAAGTACACAAGTGAGCAAAATTGTTTTCCCCTGGTAACTTCTTAAAGCTTCTATATCAGCGCTTCTTACAGAAATTGTCCCCAGTGCCTGAACCAAACCAAATCGATTTCCCATGATGTGTCATCAGGCTGTGGATGAGAGCCTTCTTCGCTACTACACGAACGACTCGAGCCTACAAATCAAGGTTATCAACCACCCGGCGCCCATCTCCGCCCAAACCAAGGTAAGAACGCACTATAAAACGAAATCGTCCCCACGTGAACAGTGCTTTTGTCATATGGGTGGCTGGATAGTTGTAAAAAGAATAATACCCATCACAACAGCAGTACTTATGACTTTCTTCAGGGATATCCAGGTTTTACTTAGGCTTCATCATTCCTCCGAGCTCCGATGTTTTCGTTATTTCTCGACACACCCTGTCCTTCCTCAGCTTCAAATGCAGCTGAACGGCCAGAGCAACGGCTTCAACATCGCCTTCAACGTGGCCTTTGGCGTCTCGTTCTTGGCCGCCTCGTTCGTGCTCTTCCTCGTCAAAGGTTCGTCGGGAGCTGGCGGTCCTCTGTATCGCCGAGCTTGACGTAGGAAGAGTGTGTGCTATGGCAGAGTCCCGGTGATGAGCGAATGTGTGAGGGATGGGCTTGGATGAAATGTCGCCTACTGAAAAAGAGGCAGTCTCATTTTTTTTTTTGCACAAAACTCCACACTTTCCATTGTCTCGACTGCCGACCAAAATCTAACGCCCGACCGCGCTCTCTGCAACAGAGATGGTCACCAAGGCGAAGCACCTGCAGTTCGTCTCCGGTGTGGGAATCACCGTCTTCTGGCTCTCCAACTTGGTGTGGGACTACATCAGCTACCTGATCCCGGCGTGCGGCATGCTCCTGACGCTGCTGGCCTTCCAAGAGGAGGGTTTCATCGAGCCGGAAACACAGGGTAAGACCACGCAGAGACATATAGGGCTGGTCTAGATGTTCTTTAGACTTCTTGGACATATTTTCCGCTGTTGTTGGCGAACAATGATTCCATAATCGATGCGCAGTCCAACTAAAACTTATCAACGATACGGTGTTCTTTGTCCTTAAGCACTTTCGAAGAATGCGATAGACTAAACCGCGGCTTTGGTCTAATGGACTTGCTTGGCCCGAAGCAGCCGGACTGACCTGCCACAGAGCTGACGACCTCGTAAAGTCGAATGAAGCTCACTTGTTTGGATGTTTGCTCTATCGGTCTGACCTGGATGCTGATGACCATGTCGACAGGCACTCTGATGCTCCTGTTTGTGCTGTACGGCTACGCAATGCTGCCGCAGACCTACCTCTTCTCGTTCACCTTTACCGTGCCGTCCTCCGGCTTCACACGGGTGGCCCTCTTCAACATCTTCACAGGTCAGTGAGCCGAGCGGCTCTGTCGCTTTCCTTGAGATCAGTGATGACCTGTTGGCTAGCTACTTTTTTTTGCATCAAGCACTCAACGAAATGTTAGGTAGTGCAAAGCCCATGCACGACGTTTATGCTGTTCCGTGCTTTCCGAGTGAGTACTACTCAGTAACCTTACAAGTTGGCAATGACACATGTAACATAATATCGTCAGGATTTTCTGATGGCGTACGCTCCATCCACCTCTCTGTCATCTAACCTTCACTGGTTTAATATCGCTAACTACGTCACTGGCTGTTGACAGGAATGGCGACAATGATGGCAGTGTCTTTGTTAAGGGGTCTTGTAGTAATTATAATGTCGCTGATTACGTCACTGACCGTTGACAGGAATGGCGACAATGGTGACGGTGTCGGTGATGAGGATTCCTCTGCTGGAGCTGCTGGATGTGGCCGATATTCTGGACTGGGTGAGTACTGAGCTGCGTCTCGCAATTGTCGACATTTAGAGAAAGAGGCAGCATTATAGTATAATCTCTTGAAACATTCAGCAGAAATAAGTAAAGACAGAGACAGGAAAATGATTACCGAGAATGTCAGCAGAGAATAGCGAGCATTTACAGAGGATCATGGTCTGTGAGCATGTTGTGTGAGAAAAGCTCGTAGCAAATCGCTTCACTCTTCAGTGGTACGATGCGCAGCGACCACAAGGCATCACAGTTTGAGTCAGAGATATAATGCTCGAAAGTGACGAAATCAATATCAAATGCAGCATGCTACATCTTCGTCTGTGAGGGACTTCTTGAGCTGAATGGGGCGATAACAGCAACAGGACTTAAAGACCATTACATCATTAACATGCTAACATATTGACGGTACATTCTAACATAACAGTCACGCCGTTTCTGCAGATATTCATGATTCTTCCCAACTACGCGCTGGGCATGGGTATGGCCGACATCTACTCCAACTATCAGGGACAGCAGTACTGCGGCACCATATCGTGCCGGGAGCAACTCTGTGTCCTGCTCGACAAACTCAACATGACCAACCCGTGCTGCAAAGGTCAGTCCAACGCCGACCCGTGTGCACATGACCAGGAACGGTGAAGTGCGAAATGCAGATACTTGTCTTCTTGAAGTAATAAGTTTTAATGTCAATAAATTTAATGTCACATCACAATTTTTTTTAAATGTCACATCACATTTTCCGTTACGTCACGATAACGTCACGAGCCACCACCACATCTTGCCGGCCCCTTCTCGTGCCTCTGTCACGTCACGTCACACTTCTCGCTGCCGCAGAGCTGGGCAACTGTGGCGAGGCGGGCTGCGTCTATTTCAACGACAATTACCTGGCGCTAGAGCGGCTCGGCATTGGACGCACGCTGCTCTTCATGTTCGCCGAGGGTGAGACTGTCCCCCCTCACGCTCTTGAACCCTGGATGCATGGGGCGCCCTGGGCAGGGGTCGTGCCGGGTAGATGAAGTAGGGTACTCGCATATGTTTTTTTCATTAGCACTGTCTGGAAATAATTATTTGCCCTTAGTGATAATTATCTTGTGTCACGGGGGCGAAAACCAGGAGACGAGTTACCTTCTATGGGTTATATGAATGAGGATGTTTTAATGGATTTATAGTTCAACTTTCCGTTTGTTTCAGGGACCGTCTGCCTGATAATTTTGTGCCTCATTGAACTGAGGGTGGCTGACAAAATTAAATACTTTATCAACAACAAGAGAAATACCTACGGCAAGCTTATGAAGGAAGCGGATTGTAAGTGAATGCTGTGCAAGTTTTATTCTGGTTTGTTTTTGTGATAGAACTGTTTGGTCAAGTCAAGTGACACAACGTGTCCACCCTTCTGTGTTTTGTTGGCTGCATTGTACATATACATTGCATTATTATTTTACAATTTTCGCCCAATGAAAAAGTGATATCCTCTGTCATAATAAGTTCCAACATGTCGCAATTGATTTGATGCTATCGCAACTTCAAGAATAAGCGTGGTCCCGCATATGATGTTTTATTGCGATGAAAGGTATATTTGGTTTTCTGTTACAGCCAGTAACGAAAACGTTATTGTGGCGGAAGTCGACTCGGACGTCGCTGCTGAGAAAGAACGGATCCACACAGCTGACATTGATACGCTGAAAACCAACAACGTTCTCGTCGCCAAGTATGTTGTACATTTCCAATTGGCTGTCATTGAATGTGCCTTGGCGGCGAGCATCGCGGCATCCTTACATATCTACACGGAAACGTTGAAATACAGAACAGTTGGTGTAACAGAGCAAATACAATATTTCTTTTACACAGACATCTGTATACCTCTCTGTTGGTCTACTGATGCCTATAACTCTGCACTGAAAGCAGCTACTGGGCAAACCAGATGCACACAGTGCTGCCTGTTATACACACGCGCCGTACGTTGTTCTGCTGTATCCCCCGCGCTGTTTAAGTCTTATATGTACTATGATGCCGCCTGTCTGCAGGGATTTGACCAAGTTCTACTCGAAAGACTTTTTGGCGGTGGACCGACTTTGTCTGGCGGTGCCCAAGGGAGAGTGCTTCGGACTGCTGGGAATCAACGGAGCCGGTGAGTACTTTCGAGCCCGAGGCCTGTGTTGTGTATCTATCTGTTTGAAGTTAGTCGGCCTGACACATGAGTTATGAATTGGAAGAGAGGAAAATTTCCTTACATGAAGACAAACAGACTGCAAGGGTGAGGGTCTATGGCTTGCATGGACGAAATAAATAAACCGAAAGGCACATAACATAATTGACATGATATTTCCCAAGAATATATAAGGTCACAAATAAATATGTTGATGAACTGGTACTAACTGCGATCAAAAATATGTGTATGCATAGCGTTGGTTGGTAGGTGCGTGCCTATTAGGGAAAAGTGGGGTAAGACGGTCAGGGTAGGTAAGACGGGCACCCCTTCTGCAGACCAAACCAATAGCGCTACGAGCGAGAAAAATTAGGACCAGGGCCCTGTTCATGAACCCCGGCGGTCGCTGCGGCCGCTGCGGTCGCTGCGGCCAGCCGGGTTGTTACGTCACAAAAAGGGGCGGGGCTCATGTAGTATGACGAATGTATGACGTCACCTTGCTGCGGCCGCTGCGATCTCTGCGGCCGCAATCCAGCGACCGCCGAGCCGCAAGAAAGTAATTGCACTGAACTCGGCGCACTGAAGTCAAAGTGTAGGCTGTGTTGCCATGGAGACGATGTTGTAAACAAATTCATTCCGTCCGGTGTTGCATGCCATGATACCTAAAAATTAGATTAATGCTTTAATATGAGATTTAATTTTAGACTTAAGTTATTTGTGCTACGATTTAATGAAAAGAATACCAAGTCATTTATGTGACCCACTTACAAAAATACAGAAACACCAGACGGCCTTGAGAAACGCCCTTTTCATCACAGGAATGGAATACACAGATAAAAGAAGCGCGTGGAAACTATTGATTAGTAATCGTCTCAAGCGCGCAATTATCGGAAACTATTTCGGCAGCAGACGTGTTCATGGAACGCTGATTGCGGTCGAGTGGGTGATGACGTTTCAAAAATGGGCGGAGCTTAGAGCCTGCGGCCGGCCGCAGCGGCCGCAGAGTTCATGAACAGGGCCCAGAACTGCCCTTCCCACTGCACACCACCATTGAAGTCTGGTGAATTTTTGTTCAGTCGATGATCTTTTATTTTGATTTCTTTAAAACACTCATTTCATTGAAAACATCCATAATGTATTGTACAAGCTTTTGTGTGCAGCACTATTGAGTTAAAAACTCGCAATTTCTTGTAGTACACTCATATGCCACCAGTGTTCATTTACCGCGGGTTTGCTTTGTCTGCATCAAATTGTCCACAGAGAAAAATCGTGCTGAATTTCTGACATTGAGTTTGGGGTAAGACGGGCAACTATGAATCCAATGGGTCTGTAATGGTGAAAATATTTTTGTTGCTGTAGGAAAAAAAGAAGCATTTCTAATAAGAATATGTTCGATTCCGATACTCACAGACATGTTTGCAATATTCCTTCGGCACAGTTTATTCTCGAATAATGAATGTGAAAAACAGTTCTACATGGCTTCTGAACTAGGGCCTATATACGAGCATACGCCTTCTGCACGAATCTCGTATACTGCCATTTCCGAAGCACTTGAGACCAACGAGCGACTTTATCAATGCGGCTAATCTCGGGCATTTCTTGCGAGCTGTGCTGGTCGGTGAAAGAAGCTGGCCGTCTTGCCCTACCCATGTGACCGTCTTACCCCATGGGGTGGGGTAAGACGGGTTTTTGCAAGGTTTTGCAAAAATAGCTGCAGTTTATTTGTTGAATCAGGTCTAAGTCTCATCTTCTGGCAAATGAAAGTAAAATTTCTAAAAAAGGTTTTCACTCAGTTTCCCGTTTCTATGATGTTTCTAACCGGCCGAAAAATGGCTCCAAAGTTAAGGTGCCCGTCTTACCCCACTTTCCCCTACCTCTAAAACTTAACAAATGATTTCTATAGCTACTTTACTGTTTTCCATACTGCTTAGCTGATGCGTCTGCAAGCCTTGGTAAATGGTACATACCGCGTAGCTCACGCTGAAATGATTTTGCTCTAATCATTAGAATAGCTCTGAACTCACTCGTCTACCAAGCTCTTTGGCTCTTTACTCACTCGTCTACCAAATATGTAATTGGTGACAAATGAAGTCAATATACGCTCTTCATGGGGGAGCCTGACGTTCACCACTTTGTTTGTAGAATCTGCTATAGACAGGATTGACCATTGTTTGTTTTCTGTCATTGCCTCGCTGATGCATTCACTTATGACGACTTCCTTTATGGCCTCCTCATGTTCCGTCTCCGGTCATACCATTTAGGAGCCATCAATACCCAATAGTGTCCGCCGGCACTATTCCCATGGCGCGTCAGAGGTGCCTTTGTGTCCCGTGAAACCTCGAGTGGTAACGCGGCGGGCTGGCCATTCATGGCATTCATGTTTGACATGCGAGCGGTGCCACTGTCAGGCGCCGCACGCGAGCCACAATGCACCACAGACAGTCGTTCACACCGATATGCGCATATGCAGAACCGGCACCAAATAGAAAACAAACGATAACTCATCGTGACGTCAGCATTGATTGAAGAGTTCTCAGCGGTATGGTAAAACAACACCGCATGAAAAACCCAACTGCTGTTGCTCTGCTAGTCGGTTGTGGTTCGAACGCCTTACAAGTATAAATAAACATGAACATCGTAATTCGTTCGATGAGTAGGCGCCTTGACCCTAACATTTCACCTAGGCTGCCGAATTTGGATCCGGGGAATTGATGTCGCTGCGGTCGTCGTTCACGGTCATTGTCCGTCGGCCACCCGTGTGAATGGTCCAGATGTTGTTCGGGGAGCTGATCGAGCCTTGCAAGCCACTCTGCGACCGACTGTGGGCCGTCCAACACCGCCCGAGGAGGTCCCAGGTCATCAGAGGCTGTCAGGTATCAGGAACGGCAGTTCAACATCATCAGAAGTCGTCTTAGCACCAGCAAAGACCGCCTTCTGTCATCAGGAGTCGTCCAGCTTCCCAGTAACATCAGGGATCTGTCAGCGCCACCAGAGACCTTCACCATCGCCAGTCGGCGCTCAGCATCATTGGAAGTCAATCGGCACCAGCAAAGCTGCCCAGTGACACCAAATACCAGTTGACGGCGTTCAACACTGCTAGACACCGCTAAATCGAGCCGTCTACCGTCATCGAGTTCCTTTCAACATTATCAGAGGCCATCAAGTGCTACAAGAAGACATCGAACAGAGTTTGCGGCCAGAGATGGCGAAGGTGGTTCTACAGTGCTTATGGTCGCTCAAAAGCCCTTCAACACCATTTCAAAACGTTCGTGAAGTGTCGAAGTCAGTGTGACTTGCTACCCTAACCATCGTGGATTCGGGGCATTTTCGAATATCCGTAACAATCTAGTTATGCGTTCGGGACTCGATAGAGATAGCGACGAGCTTTGCATCTCCGGGTTTCAGTACCGTATGAAAATAGCTTACTGGGTCGAAAGTCTGGCAGCCTTCGCTTCCTTTTAGACTAGAGACGTCTATCAGAAGGCTTAGTCTTAACAACATCAGCTTGAGCTGCCCTCATGCTTGCAAATAACTGTGAAAGCTCATAGTGCCTAGTGACAGTGACGGTATTAAGTGTTTAATCTCTCGATGACTGGCCATCCTGTCGAAGACGAGGTCAAGAACGCAGGGTGTGGCAGCTGAAAGCTGAATGTGATGTCTGCAGCAGGCAGCTGAGGACGCCTTCAATGAGTGACGGTGACCGGGAAGTGGTTGATACGACGGCGTCGCCGGCCGGCAGGGCCACTGGCCGGGTGCCGGCAGTGCCTCGCGGCGCCTGGCTGCCGCGGCGCAGCGCTACCTCCGGCCGTCCCCAGCCGTCCCAGCTCCGCCGCCTGCGCCGGCCGATGTGGCTGGCCTTCCGGGTCCTCTTCACCGGCGTCAGCCTGTTTCTGTTCGTCTGGCACGGGGTCTGGTCGGTGAACAAGTACCGGTACCACCGGTCGCTGCACTCGATGCAGCCGCGCTCGTACCCCGCCGAAGGGTTTGAGCTGCCGGGTGTGACAGTGTGCGCGGACCGGCCGTACGGCCAACAAGTGCCGCTCTCCTCACTGCTGCTCGAGTGTACCATTTCCGGCCGTCCCTGCGACAACGCCACCCTCCAATGGCGTACCGAAGAGGAGCTTACTCGCGTCTGCTTCACCGGGAAACCGCTTACTCTCGGCGATCGCAACAGTGAACGTAACGGCTACTTCTTTCGACTGCGGTTCCCGGAGTCCGCCGCGCCCGGCGCCATGTACGACGTGTATGTGCACGAGGCGCACGACACCCGCACCTCATTCTTCGCGTTCAACGGCGAGAAGAACGTGGAGGTTCCGCTTGGAGAGCTGGTGAAACAGGGGCTGCGGCTGAACGAGCGTCTCGTGCTGAGCCAGCCCGACCGGCCGTGCCGTGCCGAGCCCGGCTACTCGGCCACCGACTGTCTGAACGTCTGCTTCCAGGAGATCGTGGTCGCAGAGGCGGGTACCGACTGCGGCCTCGACTACTTCATCAGCGGCCACCCGGTGTGCGCCACACCCGAGCTGCGTTACAACGTGACGGTCCTGGCGTACCGACTGGGACACCGGCTGTTCCGCGAGTCGGGCTGCGCGCCGCGCTGTCCCCCCGCCTGCCTGTTGCGCACCTACAGTCTGGTGCCGTTCTCGCGGCTGGTGCGCCCCTGGTACCTCCGCCAGCGGGTCGGCGTGCTCACACTCAACTTCGACAGCCCGCGGTACGCCCGCTCCAGCGAGGAGGTGGTGTATGACTTCTTCAGCGGCCTGGGTGACATCGGCGGAGCCATGGGCTTCCTCCTGGGCCTGTCGTTCCTGGCCGTTCTGGACGGAATTGCCGGCGTGCTGGGCTGGCTGCTGCCCAGGCTGGACGTCCTGCTGACTTGCTATGAGCGGCGCAGCACCAGCAACAGCAGCAACAGCAGAAGCAGAAGCAGCGGCAGCACCAGCAGCAACAGCGTCTGGGTGCTCGCTGGTTGAACTGACACGAGCGGGCAGACACGGGCGGGAACTACGACTGGTATGGGGCTAGAATTTCGGCTGGTGGCTGGTGGATTATGCCGAATATCAGCTGGTACGGGAGTATGACTATAGCTAGCTCCGCTATATACATGTAGAACGCGACCACAACCGGCGGGTCCAGTGAGATGAAGTCGGTAGGTTCCGCGAATCAATCGGCAGGCCCACTTTGAGTTAATTGGTAGGTCCGGATAATAAAATGCAGGCCCGAGATCCAATCGGCAGGTCTGTTGGACTGAAATTGGTGGCAAGGGAAGCCGGTTAGCCTGAAAATTAGTGATAAGGTGCATTTCACACCGCGCGCGCATACCGGAAAATGTTCGTTCAAAACGTTGAGTTTCTCCTGATTTGCACGGTTGTAATCACTGCTGGAGTTGTTAACCCACGAGCCGCTGGGGGGGGAGGCATAAAGTTGCCCCCCTTTACGTTTTGTAAAATATCTCCGAAACCTGATGAGTTACGAACGTGAAACTTGGCATAGCTTCAAATGAATACCTAGGCAATGTTTGAGGAAAGTTTGGTGGTTTTAGCACCTAAGATGACGTCACAGTGACGTCATAGAGTTTTGTCGTTTTCCGATATGGACCGTCTCTGATGACGCTGAGCAGGAAACTCAACTGTAAATGAACTAGACAGCACCTGCTGTCATCCTGAAACATCTAACTACACTTCAATCTAGTTTCTGACCAATAATCGGCCCTTTATATTCGGTCCCATATATCTGATGTATCGTGAGGAATATGAGAGTCGCAAATCTATAATTTCACTTATGACGTTACTGTGACGTCATTTCAAATGGGATTGACACCAAATTTGGACACAACGACGGCTAGGTATTCAGAAAGATGTGTGCAAAGTTTCGTTTCTCTATCTCTTCGCGTTGCGACGATATCGTCGCAGAAGTAAAGGGGGGGGGCAACTATATGCCCCCCCCCCCCAGCGGCCGGCGGGTGGCGCGGAGGCCCAGCGGCCGCCGGGTTAACCAGCTGAACGTCAATGGATAGAATATATTCCAACAATTCAATAATCGGCTGTATCGGATATTCACTCCCTGGGTCCGTAAGCTCAAAGAGACTTTCTTATAGGTAGTTCACATTGCAGTTTTGTGTGACCACTGAACATCCATCATGTAAGTAGATTGTCTATCGATAATGTTGCATGTCTGAAGTTAACTCCAGCTTTATGACTGGCTGTTACCTACCTACATACTAAGTTGCAATACAGATGCTTTTCATTGCACTGTGTCACTGCATTTGCTGATTCTACTACACGATAGGTAGGTACGGAAGAATCGAGATAGGCTTAGCTACCACAAGACACAAAATACTAGGGCACATGTTTACCGTCTGAATAAGATATATGCCTTTTCTGGTTGCCCTGGCCTATTAATGGGCCTGCGAGAATATGTGCGAGGTCACTTTAAAGCAGGAGGGGTAGACTGACCTTGCCTCTCTTCCTTTAATGTTTCGTCAATGCAGCTACTTTAAAGCAGTATATGATTGCACTGACTGGAACTGTATTGCGTATATCAACATTGAACACGACAAGTTCCTCATATTGCTTAGTGCTGCTCGATAATGGTGTGTATAGGGGTGTTACTTTATCTATAATAGCTTTACTACAGAGGTATATGCTTTTACATTCAGGCTATGTTAGTTGATGAGGTCGCTCAATCGTGACAAGTGGCGTTCTCACATTTTTATCGGGATAGGTACATATTTTTCCATGTGTACGTTTAACCATGCCTATTCGTATAAACCAACTCTCTTATGCAACACATCGGTGCCTAAATATAGCATGCTATGTATCCAATGTTTTTGTCGGCTGCGAGAAACATTTGACCGATTTATGTTTCTTTTGCGTTTACAGAACTTTAGCGGCCTTATGCGAGTCTAAATGTTTTGTTTCTGTTTGCATTTAATAAATACCTACCGAGGCATATGGTTGCAAATAGGTTCAGGTAAAGCTATGCCATGTAATGAGGACTGTCTTGTTTGTTCGCAATACTTAAGCACTCGAATGTCTCGATGTTGACATTGAATGCATCACAATTAGCAATTAACTAGTCTGTAGCATATTATCATAATTCAGAGCCGTCTCCAGAGATATCTGCGTGAGCTTTTAAGTAGCCAACATCTTGAACGAATTTCTGCTCTTTATGGACCATTACAATACCAACATGCATTATGCAATTGATGTCTTTGGTGGGCTTTTGACCACAAGTCAAACACTTTCACGATCAAGGCCGTTTCAAATTCAGTCAGGCCACTTAATTCACCGAGCTGGGACCAAGGCCATATATTTACTATACATATAGGGTAATTGGGCTGGGACAGCGAGCGATCCTTCAGCACGACTCTAAAGGCCGCCCCACACTGGAACTCGCATGCGGGTTGCGAGTTTTTAGGTTTTCGGGTTTCTTCAAAATTAAATAATACAATCTAAGCTGAGTGACCCACACTACCATTTAACAAGCGAGTCTGCATGTGCTTAGCTTGCGAGACACCTTGCATCGCATTCCAAAAGTTGATTTTGAGTCAACTTTCGATTTTCCTCGCTGCGAGTTCTGCGAGTTCTGCGAGGTTTGCGGGTTTTTCGTTGGAGTCCAATTTTGGTTCGTTGCGCTGGTATTGCGGCTATGTGTAATTTTCTGAAGGTGTACCGGCTTCACTGCATTCATGAAGTTACCATAAGGGAACGGTCTAATCACTCTATAATTAGTATTATGCCCGCAAACTAAAAACCCGCAAACTCGCAACCCGCATGCGAGGTCCAGTGTGGGGCGGCCTTAACTATGACTGTGTCTGTAGCTTGCACGCTGTGCAGGCGAGCACGTGCCATCCGGTACAGTCTACCTGCCCGCTTGCGTTATGCGTACGTATGTACGCAAGGCAAACGGCTGGCCCTCATTTTGTTTATTGTTCTCAGTTCTTTGTCGCATTCATGACCCACCCATAATCCAGGACCACCTTACGTCGTTATTTCCGGCTTGTGGGCAATGCCGTATGCCGTAATTTTAGCCGAATCCACAGACTATTCTCATAGTCTGACTTCAGACTATGAGAACAGAGACTGAAGTCAGAATTCAGCCTGCAACTGAACAGCAGCTTACTGTTCTACAATGAGTAACTCAGATCCATCCTGGAGACAGATATAACTTAAATCTGGCTTTAAGATCCGATAACTATGACCTAACCCCGCCCTCGCGACCGCCTCCAGAACCCCTCTGACCAATCTATGTATTTTTTTTTTCAGGGAAGACGACCACGTTCAAGATGCTGACGGGCGACGAGCTGATCTCGTGGGGCGACGCGTTCCTGATGGGTCGCAGCGTGCGCGACGAGGTGAAGGAGGTCCACAAACAGCTCGGCTACTGTCCACAGTTCGACGCCGTTATCGGTGAGGCTCCGTGCGAGCGGCACTGGGATACAGTTAGGGTTTCGGGCGGGGAGAAAGTCAGACGGAAATCTGTTTGTCGCTTCGTTTGTATGTACGTATGTCTTTCTGTCAGCTCTGCTTGTCGATGATGGTTATAGGCCATGCCTACGCTATCTATTCTGTTCACTTGAATTTGGATTATTTCCTGAAATGTTTGATATGAAACGACATCACTCTCCTCAGTCTACACTGAGTGACCCCTTGGTGTCGGAATGAGGACATCTACTTGTCTCATTTAACCAGCCACGTTCTAACCAGCCCACTTTCCGTTCCGCCCTGCAGATCAGATGACAGGTCGGGAGACTCTGCGCATGTTCGCCCGTCTGCGAGGTATCTATGAGGCCGACATTGACAGCGTTATCGAGCGTCTGGCGCACGGCCTCTTCCTCACAGAGTACATTGACAAACAGGTACTGTGTCACGGAAAACACAGAGACAAACAGGTAATGTGTCACTGAAAAGACATCGACAAACAGGTACTGCGTCACTGTGAACACACACACATAGACAAACAAGTAGTGTGTCACTGTAAACACATAGACAAACAGGTACTCTGTCACCGTAGAACTAGACACATCGACACACAGGTACTGTATCACTGAAAACACATCGACAACAGGTACTGTGTCATTGAAAACACACCGACAAACAGGTACTGTGTCATTGAAAACACATGGACAAACAGGTACTGCGTCACTGTGAACACACACATAGACTAACAAGTAGTGTGTCACTGTAAACACATAGACAAACAGGTACTGTGTCACCGTAGAACTAGACACATCGACAAACAGGTACTGTATCACTGAAAACACATCGACAACAGGTACTGTGTCATTGAAAACACACCGACAAATGGGTATAAAGTCACTGTAAACACCTAGACAAGCAGGTACTGTGTAATTGAAAACACATAGACAAACAAGCAGTGTGTCACTGTAAACACATCAACAAACAGGTACTATGTGTCACCGTAACACATAGACAAACAGGTACTGTGTCGCTGCAAACACAGCGACAAACATGTTTTGTGTCGTTGTAAATACATAGACATACAGGTACCGTGCCACAATAAGCATATCAACAAACAGGTACTGTGTCACTGTAAACACATCGACAAACATGTTTTGTGTTACCTGCGAACACATACACAAGCAGGTATTGTGTAATTGAAAACGCATCGATAAACATGTAGTGTGTCGCTGTAAACACAGCGACAAACAGGTACTGTGTCACTGAAAGCACATTGGCAGACAGGTAATGTGTCACTGGAAACAGATCGACAAACAGGTACCATGTCACTGAAAACACAAAGGCAAACAGGTACTATGTCACTTAAAACACATATACATACATACAAGCAGGTACTGTGTCACTAGGTATACAAGATTCATGTTTCTCGTCGCTACCCGACTTGGAGATATGATGAGACTGTGCCTGTGAACATATCGTCAAACCGATATTTTTTTGCCGGAATGCTTGCGAATTTAAATGTAAGCTGTTCGGCTGGTCTACAGATAAATCTACACTTACATTCAGATAGACAAACTGGTAACCAAACCATCTTGGCCGGTTCCAATATAACCTGTTTGGTAGTTTGTTCTCTGTCCAGTATGTAACCGGCAGTAACCGGACATCCTCTGACCTGTCCGTCACTCACTCCCCCCAGGTGCGGGAGTACTCCGGAGGCAACAAGCGCAAGCTGAGCACGGCCGTGGCGCTGGTGGGCGACCCGCCGATCGTGTTCCTCGACGAGCCAACCACCGGTATGGATCCGGTGGCGCGCCGACTGCTCTGGGACGTCATCTGCCGAATCCGAGCCGCCGGGCGCAGCATCATACTGACGTCACACAGGTCAGATACTGGGGAGTGACGTCACTTAGGTCAGACACTGAGGACTGACGTCACACAGGTCTGAGACTGGGAGTGACGTCACACAGGCCAGGCACTGAGGAGTGACGTCACACAGGTCAGACATGGGGAGTGACGTCACACAGGTCAGACATGGGGAGTGACGTCACACAGGTCAGACACTGGGAGTGACGTCACAGATGTCTGAGACACTGAGAGTGACGTCACACAGGTCAGGCACTGAGGAGTGACGTCACTTAGGTCTGATACTGGGAAGTGACGTCACACAGACCAGATACTGGGGACTGATGTCAGGATACGAGTCAGGATACTCGTATATACCCCTGTTGATGCCACTACCGCTCGTCAAGCGTTATACATCCTCGCTGTATCCATCGTGGGCATCACTCAGCTGTATTTTAGTGCAGCCGGCCGCCCCGCTACACCCCCCTGACCTGACCTGCGCGACTGTTACGCAGCATGGAGGAGTGCGAGGCGCTCTGCACGCGTCTCGCCATCATGGTCAACGGCCAGTTCAAGTGCATGGGCTCGCCGCAGCATCTCAAGAGCAAGTTCGGCCAGGGCTACACGCTACTTGTCAAGGTCGCCGTTAGCTCTGCGGAGAAGGAGGTGGGTTGGGATGGTGGGGGTCGTGCGGGGATGGTGGCGAAACATGCGGCCGAATGTGGCTTCATACGCTCGAACTTTAAGCAAATGTTTAAAGTCAGAAAGCATTGTATGACGATGGTCAAGTAGTGGTAAATAGCGTGCAAAGGAGCATTTAAGATAAGTGCATTTTGTCATGTTTCGTGTCGTCGGCTCTCATTTTCACTCTTGGTTGTAATACACTTGGCTCACTCCATGTCGGTGCCCAGGCTCCATCGAAGTCTGCCACGTAACTGAAACTCCTGCTCTTTTCACAGGAGTTTTCGAAGACACACAAACGAGCGGCATCTAGTTCGTCAGCACGCCGCCAGATGTCAGCCAGTGTGGGCCCACAGCGGCGGCAGAGCATGACGGCCGCCGTGCAGCCCGTCAAAGACTTTGTGGAAAAACACTTCCCAGGTGCGTTAATCGTCCGCTTGGAATAAAGTCGGTGCTAGAATAGAAACCGCCATGCGTCGATAGTTTATATCTTTATGTAGAGATGCACGTTTTCATCCAATGGCCCAAGACGGCACCTACACTCGAAGTAGGTGCCGTTGCAAGGTGCCTTCCCTGGCCTTTTCGCCCTCTGATCGACCTTTGCGCCGTGTCCTGGGTCACAGGCTCCATCCTGAAGGACGTGCACCAGGGTCTGCTCAACTACCAGATCACGGACACATCGCTCTCCTGGGCGCGGATATTCGGCATGATGGAGCGGGCCAAGGAGACTCTCAACATTGAGGACTACTCGGTCGGGCAGACCACGCTGGAACAGGTATGTGCAAATAACTCTGTACATTGTGTAAACATAACCCTGACGCAAAGGACTGCGCCCTTGGGATATTGTCACATTTGCATAGTTAAGTGTGCTGTGGGGCTTGGTAAAGAGGCTAGCGAAATTAACCAGCATACCACATCTCATGATACATTTTATTCACTTAGTCGCTCTGTTTACTTTTTTTGGTGTTGATGAGGGTAACAGCGGGTCAATCACGGGATTCTGACTCATCTGATGGCTATTTTGAAATAATGTACTGTTTCAGGTGTTCCTGAATTTCGCCAAGGGTCAACGGTCAGAAGAGGAGTAAAAGGGACACACATCTAAGATGTGACAGAAAAGCAAACACAATGAATGTGGCATAGTGTACGAAATACACCATATCACACTGGACTATAGGGAAACTTACAGGGAACTTATTCAAACCGCACTTGACGACATTGGAACGAATTCTAACACACTCTGGCCATTGAACTTTGCGAGCTACTATTTGTTCTGTGGACTTATGTATGTGCTCTGCAATTTTTTATCTTAGAGCTTAACTGTTGACATGTGTGATGTTGCCTGCGTTATTTCTGTGTTTTATTTTATTCTGTCTGTTTTATTTTGCTGATCATATTACGGGGAGTCCCATGAAGTTTATTTAAGGCCCTACTTAAGTGAGCTTGGAATTTGGATAGAACTTGAAATCTACCTTTTGGTTGAAAGTGTGCTGTATGTATATAATCGAAAGATTGGCTCATTGGTGTTATATTTATCAGGATGTTTAACAGGAGCTTTGTTGTAGTGTACACTGGAAATGCAGTTGTTTTCTGTATATCTTTCTGTCGAGAGTGATTCTGGACATGCTTATGGGAACACGGTTCGTGTAGGTTTTGTTTCTTTCCCTAACGCTTGCACTATAATCACAATAGTTCTAAATGAGCTGATCCAAGTCCTGTGATTTGAAATAAAGCTAAGTTATGATATTTGATAAGAATGACCTCATCGCGAACTTTCACTTGCTGCATTGTGCGTCTCACTACGACTTATTCGACGAGTTCGATTAGTAGTTAAAGGGACTATCCCACCTTCTAAAATGTTGTTAAAACCAGTTAAATTGTGCCCGACTTTATAGATTGGATGACCAGGAACACGGTTCTGGCATTTATTTTTCATTAAACATCTTAGGCTTCCCATATTCCAAACACAAACTTTCAAATATGTGACGTCACAGCCCAAAATTACCTCCTTCCCCAGGCCACATTACTGTCATAAAGCTGATTCTTTTTACTCTGTAGGCACCACAACAAAGTTCAGACCAAGTTTTAAGCGATTTTTCAACGAACAAACCCATTTAAATCAGAATGACTAAACGAGGTGACGTCACACTAACGGTCGCTCCATGTTGAAGATAGGGCCTTGCACAAGGCCCATTTTCAAATGAAGGGAACGAATTTCTTCAACACCAAGAGGCCGCGGGGGTTGCAACCTAGATAGATAGTGGTTTCTGAACCTCGCCGCAAACTTGGCTATCTCAACTCAAACCCCATGTTAAAGGTGGGATAGTCCCTTTAATAGTCTAAGGGCGTTTACCGGATCCTCGTCCCTTTATATATGTTACGGGTCATATGCTAACTTGGGCAGTATGCAAACTACCCGGGCAGTATGCAAACTACCCAACAGCCCGGGCAGTATGCATACCGCCCGGGTAGTATGCATACTACCCGACCCCTTGGGCAGTATGCATACCGCCCGGGCAGTTTGCATACTGCCCGGGTAGTATGCATACCTTTTGTCTCACGGGCAAGATGTTTACTTGGGCAATATGCTGACCGTGGCTCGTGAGACTAGTTAATGCAATAGCTCGCATATACATGTCAATGACAGACGCTTTAACCCGTGCCGGGGCGGTGCTCGGCGCCAGCCGTGCCGGGCTGTGGGGGGGGGGGGAATTGAACACCCCTGCTCGGCTCCTGTGCCAAGCGGCATGTAAGATGCGGTAACCGCGGCATTTGAAAGTGTCAAAAATCATGACGAAAGTACTCTAGTAATTTTTAGGTCTGGTCAAAGAATAGGGCATCAGAGGTCATCAAAGGTCAAATTTCGCCTTTTTCATTTTTTTCTTTACAAATTTGCCCATAACTCAGCGTATTCGATAGCTCTTTTAGCGGTTTGTGGAATAAGCACTCATAGTTGATCCAAGTTCCAAATTTGACCTGAGGTCAAGGTCATGACCTGACATGAAAAGGTCACATTGTTTATCAGCCGGTCCTTATCGTCGACCTGAACACATCTAAGGTTGTTTCCATCGCTCCAACACGTCTCCATAAAAAATTACCTACCGTCAAAGAACTGCACTGGATATCTTTTATGACCTGATATGACCTCATGGTCATAAAAAGGGGTCACAGTGCAGTTTATCGATCAAGTGTGTCATTTTTACCTGTAACATGGTGTTTGAGAGTATTTATAACGACGTTCATCCAAAAGGTGTCCTGCAGCTTTCTCCTGTCAACTTCTAAGGGAGACTGTGCAAAATTTACCTGACCTAAGGTCATTGGTATGATATTAAAATTCAAATACATGCATTCTGTAACTAATTTTACTCTTATTAATCGCTAAAAGTTTCAAAGCGATCGTTCAGTCGGTGTAACTATGGCAAGCATTCTAGCTTTTTTTTCTAAGGTAAGGTCACTTGACCCGACCTGATAACCTGACCACAACAATTTGTAACGTGTTACATGTAAATCGTTTCATGCAACATTAGCTATTGAAATAATAACGCCCTCTACAGGTCCAGGTGCCAAACCAAGGCCAGCGAATGATGACACTATATATCTGTCATTTCAGATGAAAATGACTTGTTGGCCGCCTGGCTAATTAACAATGAAGTTCTGGGAAAATAATTTTAAGTCTTTATATTCCAATCCTTCTTCCACCTTTCAACCGATAAATGACGTTTGACGGCAAAAATACTTCGCGATTGAACTACGCTATTTAGAGAGCCATTAATGTTTTGAAAATGGACATGGAATACACAACTTCAAGACAAGAACATGCATACTTGGGCAGTATGCAAACTGCCCAAGCTTTTGGGCGGTATGCATACTGCCCAAGGGGTCGGGTAGTATGCATACCACCCGGGCGGTATGCATACTGCCCGGGCTGTTGGGTAGTTTGCATACTGCCCGGGCAGTTTGCATACTGCCCAAGTTAGCATATGACCCGTAACATATAGATGTCCTAGGTGGATAACTACTCCAGCAACTACCGATTTATCTATTATTGTACCTACCTAATTGTTGTTGGTGTTTCTAAATGAGATGAAATATTTTATCTGTGTGATAACGGCTGCACGGTTGTACATACGTAGCAGGGCGATAGGCGATATCTATTGTCAAATGTCGCTGTTCGCTAATATCTACTTGACGGCGTACCTCACTGTGATCAGAAACTTGGTGAGATTAGAATATAATATCAGCAATGTTATCGCTGAATTTCGATAACTGCCTGTAGCTAACTACAATTTTATACCATACCTACCTAAACGCTGCATACTCGTTTCATCGGTCATCCTCACGATTTAAATAGAGTTTGGAATTCAAGCTAACTATTTTGACTTCCTGATTCTCCGTGCTCTTACAAGATACTTTTTTTAGTAAGAAGTTATATGAACTATATTTGATGGCATTATAAAATGACATTCCAGAATTATAAGTTTTTAGGTATGTATGAGTTCCGAACGGACAGAGATTCGCGATCGATACAGGTGTTGAATGTTGTTGTATGTATCACTTGTGTAAGCATCAATGTCATTTTGTTTCCCACACTTCGAGTTCAGCGTGTTTCGAAGTTGTTTTTGTCAATCGATTCTCTGTCAACCCCTTCATTTTTCTGTCTTTGCTCCATACTTCGGTGTCTCTCCGTTTTCTGGGCTCGCTCCGAACTGAACTGTGATGACCGCGGGTGACCGCCGTATATGTTCGGTGCTGCAGGCCAAAGCAGAAGGCCGCTGCGTCGCGCGTGTTCGTATGTGCATAGGTATGTGTCGGTGGCATGTGTGCTCGTCATAGGTAGATACGTAAATAAACAATCTAAGGTCGACGGTGAAATAATCTTTCTCTGAGATCATTTTCAACATCAGAAACACTGACGGCTGCGGTTCTTTTTTCTGTCTTCATATACCAGTAAGTCAAGCCAGGCACGCACCCCTTTCCCCCAAAACAAAAATGCGCTAATTTAACATCCTGAGTTGACTTCTTCTTCTTAAAAAAAATACGCTTCATCATCCGACGCACTTATCGTAACAAACACAATAATTCCAAAATCGTGACTCGACGACTATTTTTGATGAAGTCATTAATCTTAAACCGTACCCCTACTTCGGGCACGTGACCTGACCTGACTTTAGAGGTCACCGGTTGATCAGAGACCTATAAATTCTGATACTAATCGCTGCGCATCGTAACAGCGCACAGTCTCGTTTTTTATGTGAGGCATCAGCTCAAGAAAAGGCGAAACAGCGAGGGGGCTCCACCTACCCTCTCGCTATATAAAAAGGAAAGAACGACAGGTCCAGCGAAGGAGGCTTCCGTCACCAAGGAGGTAAAAAACTAGCACACAGAATGGCCTCCAAGCACAAGTGACGTTGCGGTTCACTCGCATACTAGCACTTGTGGTGCCGGTAGGCTGTCATGGTTACTAGACAACAGTGTCACGGCCGGGAGTCTTAGCTGTCCCGACGAGGGGTCAGTGCAGGTCATTTCAGACTCAAAGCCAGGGGTGACACTTCACCTTGCGACCCGCTGCGCCTCGAAAACTGACAGCCAATGGACCCACCACGCCCCTCCAAACGGCCCCCGCTTGAGAACAATGCATGGCTGCGTCGGTCCACCGTCTGTGTCAACCCAGCCCGACTGTTAGGTTCAGCATTCGTCCCGACTGTTGACATCAGTGTTCTTCAGTGTTCCTCGGGCCCATTCAGGGCATGTCAGAGCGATCACTACACGGCCACACTGAACTGGCGTCTTTGTGGCAGTATGACGAACCTCTCCGGCGATGTCATACAGCCCCCGTCCTAACAGAGGACCGGTCGGACCTATAGGACGGTCGGTCGGTAGGACCGCCACCTGCTATAGTTTGTCACTGATATCCCGCAGTAGCCGGAGCTGATACCATTGTCACCGGTGACCGATTCCCGATCATGAAGCGTGTACCGGTCCGTCCAGCTCAGACCGAGACTTCAGCATCAGGCGGGGACGGCACCCAGGTAGGAGGGATGACCAGAGATGTGGAACCGATGGGCGGAGACCCCCACCTCTCGTGGTCGGCGAGGGTTATGGTCGGGATGCTGCGTGTCACCGGCCACTGGGGCGGCGCCGGCTGCGGCTGCCTCATCTACGCCACCCTGCTGTACGGCCTTCTCACCAACGCGATGTTCTTGCTAGTCTCCTGGAAGGGCGAACTCGGCGCGAAGGCCCGGGACCAGGGTGATTTCAGCGCCGCGTTCAAGTCGTCGCTCTTCGGCGTACCGGACGCACTGAGCTGGCTTTGTCTGAGCTGCACCTTCTTTATCGGAAGGCGACGGTACGCAGGTCTGTTCTCAGAGATCAGACAGACCCTGAGAAACGCCCAGAGCTCGACTACCAATCCAACTGCTGAACCTCTAAAGAACCTGAACCGAAGACTTGCTGTCATACTGTCATGCCTTGTAGCATTACTCCTTTTCATGACATCTATTCACATCCATTATTTCCTGCTAGCTCCCGTGCAGGCGTGTAAGGAATCGGCCGTAATCTGGGGGAAGAACGTGATGAAATACTTATTCTTCATAATCCTTGATATCTTTCTGCTGCTCACACCAGTCAAGCTCCTCCTTGCCGCTGAATTCGCCAGGGAGGGTTTCCGAGCGGTGAACGCTGAGCTGAAGACGATGATGGCCTCTGGTAGAGTGGATGTCACTCTGCTGGTCCGACTGGGGCGACAGCAGGCGGCGCTGAGCGCACCCTTCTCGCGGCTGACGGACGGCCTGACGCCCGAGCTGGTGGTCTCCATGGCGTACGGCGTGCTGCTGCTGGTGTCCACCCTCCTTCTGACCGTCAGCAGCGCGCAGACCGGCCACCTGGTCCACGCCGGCCCCAAGATAGCCGCCGACCTGTGCTGCGCCGCCGTCACCGTGGCCGTGCCGTGCGAGGTCGGCCAGGCCGTCCAGGACCAGGTGGGCCGGATCGGCGACCCGCTGCTGGCCCGGCCGCCGGTCGCTGATGTAGTCACCGGTCAGGAGCTGCTGCTGCAGCTGGAGGCGACGCGCCGCGACCTGGACAGTCTGGGTGACCTGCGGCTGTACCGACTGCGACGCTCCACCGTGCTGGCCGCCGTCTCTGCGGTAGTCACCTATATCATCGTGTTCCTCCAGTTCCAGCAGCCCGAGGCGTCCGAGTAGCCGGCGGTGCGGCAGCGGGAGGACCCGGCGGAGCAGCAGCGGGAGGACCCGGCGGTGCAGCGGCGGGAGGACCCAGCGGTGCAGCAGCGGAAGGGCCCGACGAACCGGAGGAGCAGCAGCGAACCTTCTGGGCACTATGCATTCTCTGCTTCGTTATCAGGAATAATCGATTTAGGATGCGAAACATTGTTTAAAAAGTCGTTAGAAAGCAGGTACAATTATTTATTTTGGTATCTACGACAAAACATATGACTGAGAACTGAGCTGTCTGGGCGAAAACAGACACAAATTTAAACATGCGTCAAGCTGATGGACGTCTCGGTTTGAAAAATAAAATAAAATAGGTACATATTCACGTTTGCGTCGCGCACATAGACACATACATGCATAATGCATATGCATTACGACAGGCAGTCCAACCGGAGGCACGACAGCATAACTGATATCACAACACTCATAAGACTGGTCGCCGTCATCTTCGCTCGAAATGCCTAAAATTTTACCTTGTTATATAATCCCTGAGCTTAACACTTTGGATCATTAATCATTCACTTTCATTCACCCGCACGTTGAACGCTTCTTCACCCTCCGAATTGCAGCGACTGAGCAATTCGAACCGGATGTTTGAAGAGACGAACGACGTCATTCCTGCAAGCAGACAAATGCGTTAAATGTATCAGTCAGTCTGCACAAATTTCAAGCATTCTTTATTTTCTTCCGTGCTCTACCAATAGTTAGAAAACTGACAGCACACAGCACACAGCACAAGACTCACATGTACAAGTTGAGTGGGACGCCGAACATGAGCACTGTGTTGTCATTGTTGTGGAAGCGCCACAGACCACGATGGTGACCTCGTGCATCCAGATCCCAGATGGCGAAACACTGGGGGAAGGTAAGCTGAAGTTAGGCGCTGGATGGGAGATGACACAGTTATTAATCAAGACACTGACGGGAGCCGTACTGATGTTTGCGGCTGAACAGGGCCAAAACCAGATAATTTCACCGCCTGAGAGCAATATGCATGTAGTCATTACTGATATACTTACCTAATCGGTTCGACTGCAAAGGAAGACATCCAACAACGCAAAGAGAACATACTAATACCACGGACGAACGGACGACCGAATTCATTTCATTCGGATAACATAACACTAGTGGTGTCAAAATCAGAAAGCGTATGTCCAAAGTCCGTCCAATGTCCAATGCTTACGTCGATTGTCCGTCCAAAAATGTCCAAGCCATCCATTTGTCCAAAGATGCCCGACACCTACGCAGTAGTTAACACTCAACACTGTTATTTAATTTGCTTTTCATGTACCGTTACAAGCTCAAAAGTGTTAATCATATCGAAAGCTGAGTTTTCTAATAGCCAATCAATGTTAATCACGACTACTTTTTAAAAATGTTGAGGTGTAGCAGGCGATTGTCCAAAGTTGTCCAAAGCCTGCTGCCATTGTCCAACCGAATTCCGAATTGGACATTGGACAAAATCGGAATTCCGAAGATTCAAGTTCCGATTGACACCACTAGATAACACCACCCCTTTAAGATTACTCACCTTGGCCAGAGTTTTGTACAGATCTGTGTCCTCCATGCTATTCATCTGGAAGAAGAATGCGTATGTTTTGTTTGTACCCTCCAGTTCCACTTCACATGGGCCGCCTTGGCTCGGAGGAATCTCTCCAAGTTGGAAGTCGGTCTCCTTCATCGGCTCCGCCTCGGCAATCAGCCGATGGACCTCCTTTTCATACTCATCCTTCAGCAAGCTGAAATGAAATGGCAGGAGTGAGGGTGATCTACAAAATAACAATTATGATCAAACGCAGTGCGCACCACCTTTATACCTATATCACACATTTAATGCTGGCGAGATGCATAACACGAGTCGCTAGATTTCGCCTCGGGTAGTTAGATATGAAATATCTGTTGGTGTCTTCAATTTAGTTATTCAAGGCTACCACTGGGAGTTACTACACTTCCTCGTTTTCGGCTTCTCACTCCCCTTCCACGTCCACCCTCTCCTTCACGAAAGGTTCCCAACACACCCGTTCACGTTCCTCAGCTGCACGTCCGGCAGCTGGTTGATGGCGTGGTCCTGGTAGTAGAGCGCATGGTACGCACCGCTCGCGTGGCTACCCGAGATGCCGAAGTGGTACGTTCTCGACACGTCCGGTATGACACACTCGCGCCCGAGCCGGTTCGAATCCTTGCGCACCCACAGGTCCCAGTCGTATCCCTGAGGAACAGTGCAGGGCTTGCTGATGTAACGATGCAGGCAATATCGATTAACCCGTGTCCCAATGGCGTATTCAGCCAAATGCACCCTGTTTGGGGGGGAGGGCAGATTCTCTCCCCTATCAACAAAGACGGGGAAACAACAATCGAAAGCTCTCAACAAGACTGATCTTAAAAGCACAATTGTATTGCTCAAGTACGAGTATGTCACAGGTCAGGTCATAGTTCAGATCGAGATCAGGTCAGCGTCAGGTCAAAGTTCAGGTCAAGAGTAGGTCAAGTTCAGGTCAAGTAAGGCCAAATTTTGAGGTTTGCTTTAAGATAAAAGGTGTGCATATATCTGATGCAGTTTTTCACGACAAATCGATGCCTCGGTATGCTTTGTCCAAGGCTCACCTCTCCTTCGGTTGGCCAGACATCTAGGAGCTGCTGTACGGACTTCCGTGTCATCATCCAGCCCAGACCGGGGAAGTGTTCCACACTGGGAGCGCACACATATCAGCAGGTCACAATAGAGATTACTGCTTACAGCTCCCAACTGTGTTACCTGTCAAATAACGGCACGATTCTAACCAGCATTTTCTGAGATAGCTTCCGCGTGATGTGCGATTGGTAGATCGGGTAGACCTTTCCATCTACAGGAAAAAAAGCAATGCATATGGCATAATTTAACACAATTATCCGCCATTTCCCTGGAAGGACGCTATCAAGGTGTCAAGGACACCTTGCTCGGACACCTTGCTCACAAGGACTCGCGTGCTGCTGGGTGGATAATTTGTGTGTTGTAGGTATATTGCACGAAATCGTCATTTTGTGTTTTGTCGTTTACATTTAAAATCGAAGCTACCAATGTTACTTTCATTTGCTTAAAAAATTTAAGTATTTTACTTTTAATTTGATTATTTAGAGGGCACAATGCGTGGTGTTTTCTTTTGAAAACAAAGTGTGGTGCAAAGCCTTACATACGTATAGGTACATCAACAATGGAGGAGGGGAATGAGCGGTAAAAACCTACCGTTCTGGCTACAACCCAACGAACCAAGAGGAACAAAATATTAGAACAGGAGATGTCTCACATGCCACCTATTCGCTTTTCTCACCGAAACGTCTCTACGGGCTCAGTGGGTTGGCGCCATGGGTCACCCTTCACCGTGACCGGGCTGAGTGAAATCAGGACTATTCCGCTGCATGTGTGAGCTGCATTTCAGAAAGGAAGATTTCGAAGATGATTGGTCATTTCGCACCGGCATGCAGAGACAGCGCCGTCGGCTCAAGAGCGACGCAGTCCTGTCAGTATTGACCAGCGTGGATTACGCGATGCCCCCTGTGCACGAGCGGCCAGCGAAACTAGCCATGGCATCCGCACGCCACTCACACCAGAAGCAGGTTATGAAGGACCAGACCGATGCGTTCTTCACGAATGACAATGTCAGCTATCAGGTGGCAACTACAACTGGTCGAGTGTACGACAGTTCCTGGAGAATGAGGCGGTACTCCGAAGTCGAACTAAGGGCCTCAGATGGTGGTCAATGGTCACGTTTCAGCCCCGCCGACGCCTCCGCCCGAATGGCACCATCAGCATCACAGCAGGAGTGACAGCAGGATGGTGCTCTTGTCATCCAGGAGCCAGTGGCCGCGGTGGCGAAATCCACTGAAATGGAGGACCTGGATGACAGCGCCAAGGCCTCTGGGACACAGCTCTGGCGCCTTGGCACGCTCGGCCACCAGGCGTAACAAGTACGATAACTCCGCCAGCCTGCTGATCTATCTTGGGGCTACGCCGCTGGAGGTACGACTGGAGAAAGACGAGGAAGACATCGACCTCACCGTGAGGATCTGCCATATTTGGAGGCAACTGCCGAAGACGGAAGCTAACAGGAACCAGCTGCTGGTCTGCGATCAACCAAGAAGTGACGAAGATAGTCGTAAACCGGGATTTCGAACTGACCGGAAGTCGTTTGCAATGATAGCCACGACGTCCTTAGGAGCATCCTTCCAGAGATGTATGCGACGGTTTTCAATCTACTCGTATTTGCTGGAAAGTGTGGAAACATGGTAACTGATATGTGAGGCAGACACTCAAGACAGTGCTGTCCATCGAAAGTCAGGAAGCAGACACCCCAGCGGCAATCGGGTTGCACCCAAGGTGCAACCCGATCGAGGAGCGACAAGAGGCCAAAGCTCAGCAGGGTCAAGAAGATGTAAGGCGGGGAAGTAAGGTCGCTGATGAAATTGGGAGGGCAGGCGAAGCGAAGTGACACTTGAAGGGGTGTTTTGTGGCGTTGGTTTGAATTGTGACGTTTGGATGGTTCGTTGTGACAGGACTGGTGTCGATTAGCATGTAAATAAAGAGATCAAACTCCCATGTACAAGTACTTTTTGTGGATGAGAGTGGGAAATCATTATAATCAACTCAGTGGCATACGTTCCCTCACCACGGTGAGGAAAGTGTAACCAGCAACGTTTAGTAAAATAAGTTGCCATTATGCAAAAATGCAGCAATAAACACGAGCACGGCTAGATTGCTTCTTTATAAGTTTCATTCACATAAACCAATTTCTTTTTTGCCTGTGTGAGAAGATATCGAAGTCTGGACACGAAATATTCGGTTTTGTTTTCGGCCTCTTACTGCAGCCACCGGAATCCTGTTTCCAATCCAGTACTACTGTTATCTGTGTACAAAACATATCTAAAAAAAATATCCGTACTAAGTAAAATGCCTATTACCATAACATTTCCCATTCACAGCCGACTATAGTTGCTGACCACCAGGTTATTTACCGATAGAGGGCGGCCGGGTCGCTGCTGGTCGACTCGAAACCGTTGTCGTTCCAGGCGGAGATGCACCAGAGACTCGAGTCCAGGTCCAGCAGATGTGAGGTCTGACTGAAGTAGCTGCAACCGAAAAGGTCGTAATGAAACTTAGGGTACTTTTAATTAATGTTAATTCTTAAATACAAATTTACAACGCGACGTTATTAGGACGTTGCGAGTGATGGCCACATATAGGAATTGGTCAGTTCTTCCGACTCGTGCAATTTATTTGAAGTTCATGCAAATAATACATAACTTTAATAAGTCTATAATACATGCAAGGCCGTTACGTATATTCTGAGTATTTTTTTCCTTAAATTTATATTTGTATCATAAACGGAGCATTACATATTTAAACAGATCCACGTCAAATCTTCCTAAAGGCTTTCAAAACACGGGTTTAATTCCGATTTATCCAAGCATTTGCCCGGTTTTGCTCGGTCCTGCGGGAAGCACTGACCTGACAAAGTCTGGTGACACCTCCAGGTCCTCCTCCAGAACGATTAGCCGGCTGGCGGCCGGGAAATAGCGCCACACGTTGGTTAGCGCCTGCCGATAGTTCTCCCGAATTCGCAGCGTTGTGTCGTCGTGATCACTTGTCTGAGGATGGGACATGGTCAGTCGTAGGAATCATGAATAGAGCAGAAAATAATCACAACTTGACCTAGTCGGATAGTATCGTATCGCTGATGCATTCTTTAACTTGGTGCATAGCAGAAACAAGGTGACAGTCATGGGTGGAGAACCTGCCCCGGCCTGCCCGGCCGTGGCCGGGGTAACTTTCAGCCTACCCCGGCGCGGCCGGGGTAACTTTTCCACACTTGGTGACAGTGAAAGTTTTTTTTTTGCAAGATTATTATACGAGAACAATTAGGCAAGCCACTGCAACCGATACAATTATATCAAAAGAACTTTTATATTATCAACATGTCTTGGAAGAGCTTACCTGCGCTACACACTTTATATCCAGGAGGGAGCATAGCTGTTCAACTTCAGGGTGAAGTCCATCCACAAACACCAGGATGTTGGAAACAATGATGCCCCTGTTTCTTAGCAAGGAGCCCATCTGCCTGGAAACGTGCACAGGCATTGTAAATTTCGAGTTCATAGAATACACCTGAATATTATTAACACATTTTCACACTGCAGACTAGAAACTAAATATAGCGCTGTTTGGACGGTTCGGTCAACATCTCGTACAAATATCGAGAGCACAGCCGCCAGAGCCGTTTAATTGCTCGTCGCTAGGCTACTACTGCCACTATGGTCATCAGCTTGGAGCTTGAATTAGTCTGTGCCGAAACTGAAACTGTCATGGTGCTCCCGTCCATTTTGCAGTGAAGGACAGTACGCAATTAACAAACGCATACTTTGTAGTGGCTTGAGACATAAGTATACTCACTTACCTGAGGAGGTCCTGTGGTCGATTGCTTGCAATTATTACTATCGGGACATCGGCGATATTGTTCTCCTTCAGCTGTGAATTTATAATGAATCATGTAAGCGTAAGGCAAGTGAAGACAAGTGGGGGACATTATGAAGAGATATTAGGTATGCCTGAAAAGATGCTCGCTCAAAATAAACATTTCTCATTCAAAACCCACACAGGTGGGTGCTTAGTCGACGTGTGTGAGTGGCTATACCAGTGCATCCGTGCATGTGCTTATAACGTTGTCATACGCATCGGCCACGTTTTTGCTGACCATGTATAGTATGTTAGCACACATTCCATGCTTTCTTTAAAGGGACCATCCCACCTTCTAAAATGTTGTTAAAACCAGTTAAATTGTGCCCGACTTTATAGATCGGATGACCAGGAACACGGTTCTGGCATTTATTTTTCATTAAACATCTTAGGCTTCCCATATTCCAAACACAAACTTTCAAATATGTGACGTCACAGCCCAAAATTAACTCCTTCCCCAGGCCACATTACTGTCATAAAGCTGATTCTTTTTACTCTGTAGGCACCACAACAAAGTTCAGACCAAGTTTTAAGCGATTTTTCAACGAACAAACCCATTTAAATCAGAATGACTAAACGAGGTGACGTCACACTAACGGTCGCTCCATGTTGAAGATAGGGCCTTGCGCAAGGCCCATTTTCAAATGAAGGGAACGAATTTCTTCAACACCAAGAGGCCGCGGGGGTTGCAACTTAGATAGATAGTGGTTTCTGAACCTCGCCGCAAACTTGGCTATCTCAACTCAAACCCCATGTTAAAGGTGTGATAGTCCCTTTAACATTACAAAGAAGCTGGAATGAAGAAGGAGCGTAAGGTTTCTGCAAAAACTTCTTCTTACCAGACTGTGTTTCATGGGCAGCAGATGATTATCATTGCAGTGGCAAAGCTCGCCATATCCGTCGTATTTGAAGCAGAACTTGGCCCGTGCCAAGTTCTTCGGAGTTTTCTTCCATGGGCAAATAACATCTGTGTGCAGAACAGAATAATTCAGGAATGGGATCCTACCGTTGCCGCCAAACCGCTGGAGGCCCATAATTTTTCCCGGTTATTTTTGACCGTGGGAAAAAATTTCAATCAACCAAATTTCAAGTTTCATGTCGTTTGAAGACCTGCCGAAACTCTTACTTCAAATGCATTTTGCTCTCAATCAAATATAATATTTGAGGCACCTATCATTGAACCAAAATATAAACTTTTTCCATCATGGATATACTCGTATACTTTCAAATGTCATGACATTAGGCTCCACCCACGACTGCGGCGTTGACCCGTGCACATCAGCGACCTCTGCATTCAACGACACTCCTAGAATCTATATTGGGCTATGGATTTCGCAGATGCCTCACGTGGTATGAGTTTATGATAACGCACGGAACGGATAAATGATGAATGTTATAGGAGGCTTGTAATAGGTACATATAAAGCCATATAAGACCATCGATCAATCACTCTACATTTGTTTTACCGTTTACAGGCCATCTAAGTAATGTGCTTTAAAATCGAGAAAAAGGCATAGCATCGGAAATCATCGATAGAGCATTGGTTGTCTAATACATGCATGTTGCTGAATGATGTTACTGACCACAGAGGTCAGGTCACTAACGGTCATAATATGAAACCAACTATACTGGCCTGGAGTCGTATAATACACCCTTCATGGCCAATTTTACGTTCCAAAGTCAATGCTGCATGGGTTAGGTAACTATTGTGACCATGTTAAGATTACGCTCTGGGGTCAGGTCAAGGTCAGGTAAAAAAGTAGAAGTTCAAAATAAATATTTCTGCATAAGTTTTTATTCGTGTGTAATCCGCTAACTCTCGACAATCAAGGAGAAGCGCTTATTGACACAAAACACAATTTGTACGGTTCAGCCCTGTCCCCCTGCGTAAGCTCAATCATCTGGTATTGTTTTGCCTCAAATCAGTCGGACAACTTCACAATACCAGTCATCTACACATACAAATCAGTATCACCCATTTTGCGTCAGTTCAGAAAAGCCCAGAAAAGTTGCCCATATTTTCCTTCCGCGATGGTTTTAACACGTCAATTTCTTTTCTTTATTTATTAACAACAAACAATACAAGTCACATCACAGCTCTTGAAAATGGCAGTAATCTCATCGATACATGAAGAAGGAAAGCTCTCTCGACATTACAATCATCAACACAACACGATCAAGATAACATATTGCTTCTTCGCTGCACAGTATTCAGGCGAGATGCCCGCTGTCAGACACTTCAAAGTACACGGTACAAAAACAAAAACAAAAACAAAAAGAAACACTCTCCTTGAGTATATTTCAGCTACACCAGTGTCTGCGAGCACTATCATACACGACTAGGTAGCCTGTCTTCTTCGGTGAAAGACTCGGACGATCCACTTAGTCGACCTCCTCGACGGTGGGTCCCTGGCTGTTCTGCTGTCCGCCGAACTGACCTCCCTGCTGTCCGCCGGACTGGCCGCCCTGCTGTCCGCCGGCGCCGTGCAGCTTGGCCATGACGGGACTGCAGGCCGACTGCAGCTCCTTGAGCCGGTGCTCGAACTCGTCCTTCTCCGCCAGCGAGTTGTTGTCCAGCCATTTGATGGCGTCGTCGCAGAGCTCGGTGACGCGCCGCCGGTCGCTCTCGTCCAGCTTCTGGCCGGCGTCATTGACCGCCTGGCGCACCGAGAAGACGTACGACTCGAGCTGGTTGCGCGCGGCCACCCGCTCGCGCTGCGCGTCGTCCTCGGCCTTGAAGCGCTCGGCGTCGTTGACCATGCGCTCGATGTCGGCCTTGCTGAGCCTGCCCTTGTCGTTGGTGATGGTGATCTTGTTGGAGCGGCCGGTGGACTTGTCGGCAGCGCTGACATTGAGGATGCCGTTGGCGTCGATGTCGAAGGTGACCTCGATCTGGGGAACGCCGCGCGGCGCCGGCGGGATGCCGGTCAGGTCGAAGCGGCCGAGCAGGTTGTTGTCCTTGGTCATGGCTCGCTCGCCCTCGAACACCTGGATAGTGACGGCCGGCTGGTTGTCCGAGTAGGTGGTGAACGTCTGTTGCTGCTTGCACGGGATGCGCGTGTTGCGCTCGATCAGCTTGGTCATGACGCCGCCGGCCGTCTCGATGCCGAGCGAGAGCGGCGCCACGTCCACCAGCAGCACGTCCTGGATGGCCGAGCTGGAGTCGCCGGACAGGATGGCCGCCTGCACGGCAGCGCCGTACGCCACCGCCTCGTCCGGGTTGATGGACTTGTTCAGCTCCTTGCCGTTGAAAAAGTCCTGCAGCAGCTTCTGGATCTTGGGGATACGCGTCGAGCCGCCGACCAGCACGATCTCGTGGATGTTCGCCTTGTCCTTCTTGGCGTCCCTGAGCGCCTTCTCGACGGGCTCGAGCGTGCCGCGGAACAGGTCCATGCACAGCTCCTCGAAGCGAGCCCGCGTCACCTTGGTGTAAAAGTCGATGCCCTGGAAGAGCGCGTCGATCTCGATGCTGGCCTCGGTGCTGCTGGACAGCGTGCGCTTAGCCCTCTCGCAGGCGGTGCGCAGACGGCGCACGGCTCGCGCGTCGCCCTTGAGGTCCTTCTTGTTTTTGCGCTTGAACTCGTCGGCCAGGTGGTTGACGAGTCGGTTGTCAAAGTCCTCGCCGCCCAGGTGCGTGTCGCCGGCCGTGGAGAGCACCTCGAACATGGAGCCGTCGGCGATGCTCAGGATGGAGACGTCGAACGTGCCGCCGCCCAGGTCGAAGATGAGCACGTTCTTCTCGCCACCTAGCTTCTTGTCGAGGCCGTAGGCGAGCGCGGCCGCCGTTGGCTCGTTGATGATGCGCTTGACGTTCAGACCGGCGATCCTGCCGGCGTCCTTGGTGGCCTGGCGCTGCGAGTCGTTGAAGTAGGCCGGCACCGTGATGACGGCGTCGGAGATTTTGGAGCCCAGGTACGCCTCGGCCGTCTCCTTCATCTTGGTCAGCACCATCGAGCTGATCTCCTCGGGCGTGAACCGCTTCCGCTCGCCCTTGTACTCGACCTCGATGCGCGGCTTGCCGGCCTCGTTGGCCACGGTGAACGGCCAGTGTTTGAGGTCCTGCTGGATCTTGGGGTCGTCGTAGCGCCGGCCGATGAGCCGCTTGGCGTCGAACACGGTGTTCTTGGGGTTCATGGCCACCTGACCCTTGGCGGCGTCTCCGATCAGCCGCTCCGTGTCGGTGAAGGCCACATAGCTGGGTGTGGTCCGGTTGCCCTGGTCGTTGGCGATGATCTCCACCTTGCCGTGCTGGAACACGCCCACACACGAGTAGGTCGTGCCCAAGTCTATTCCGATCGTCGGAGCCATCTTCGTATGAATGTCTTCAAACACTGTCGAAATAACGCACTTCACGAATCACGATTTGTCGCTGCTGATATCGCTGCTAGCACAATAGTGGTATGGCGCAGTTTCGCTCGCACTCTGCTGCTCTCAGTGAGACTTCTGGCGCTGGAGCCCGACAGCCGCGGTTATATAGTTCAGCCACCAAAACGGCTGCCGTCGCGTTGTTTCGCGTATTTTCATGATCGTGAGGGCTTCGTGAGTCTACGCTACCATTCACGAAAACTCGAGACGCTGGCGGCCAACGGGCGCCCGCCATTGGCTGACGCAGTGTGACGTCATACCCGGCGGCCGCTGATTGGCTGGCGCCGGGCGGCACCGACGCTGCCACCCGGCGCGGCCCGTGAGGGGGAGGGGGAGTGGGGGTCGCCGTCGGTTCGGTTGCCGATAGTTCGGGAACTGATTGCGGGGAGGGGAGGAGGGGAGGAAGGGGAGCCGCCACGAGCGATCCCGAACCGCAGACCCTACCACCGAGGGGGTCGCGTGGATCCTATTCCTGACCCCAATAAATTCGCATCCGTAAAGCCATCCAATGTATGAACTATGAAGTAATGCATTTTTTGGGTCATTCCCCAATCCTGAGTGTGGCGGAGTCGGGAGCCTCTGCAGGGCTGGAGGGCTGTCCGGTTTCGTGGCCCAACAAGGTCGCAGTGTTGAGTTGTTGATCGATGGCAGCTGATACATAATTCCTGGCGCATAGGCGTCGCCAGCTATTTTAGGTTGGGAGGGGGAGGCAACTGGCAAAATCAATTCATGTGTTAACCCTCGCCCATATAGGGGGGGGGGGGGGTTGGTGCAACCCCCCCCCCCCCTGAGGTTTTTCTTAGCTACACGCCGAACCGTTTCAGATAGCCTGCTCAAATTTTCGGTACCCTATGGGGTATCCTTTGCGCAACTTTTGGTAATTTTTTTTTGTCAAGGTCATGTCAGGTCACGGAGTTATGACGTCATAAAGGGAACAACCTCCGGCCAGATTTACGCTAAATTAGAGATTGCTTCACATTGGTATAAATGCCGACTGACCTGACACACTGATGGATTGTTTTAGAATCACAACTGATTTGACATTGGCACAATGTCCGTTGACATTTTGAAGGTTACTAAAGGTCAAGGTAAGGTCAGTGACCTCGGTTGACCTGTAATGACTTCTTGCACTTGTATGCCTTTTCGGGGTATTTTGATGCCCTGAATTCGAATTTGCTATCCATTTCAGGCATCGTCGGCTGTTTCTTGTAGTTCATTTTGGGTCAGGGTCAGGTCAGTGACGTCACACGCCTGACGTGACCCAATGCCCAAATGACCTTGCAGACTTCCCATGCTCCCAACGCATCATTTTTAGAGTTATGACATCGAAATACACACCAAACGATAGAGAATTGATCAAGGATCACAATAGTGTAGGTTTCAAGTTGATATCTCTTACCGCTTTGCCGCAATCGGCGCGGAAATCTGAAAAAGTTAGATTTTTCCGAAAATTTGACCTTTGACCGGTCATAAGTAGGTCAAATATTGACCTAGGACCAAAAAATATACCACCAATCGTGAGATTGAGAGCAATCCGTTGGTCTTTTCCGCTAAGCTCTACGACGCTCCGTTTTCAAACGCCAGGGAGGGGGGGGGGTCGCACCAACCAACCCCCCCCCCCCCTGCATGGGCGAAGGTGGCAAAACACCGTTTACGGGCGAGGGTTAAATCTTGCCTTTCTACAGTCGTTACTTAATCGTTTTAGATACTATTCGACACGAAACAGTGCAATGTGTGTATGATCCCGGAGATCGGCGTGGGTCACCAAAAATTTATGCAGGGATTAAGGGCTTTCCGAGCACAAAGTAGGGCCCCATTAGAGGCCAGTGTGGGCGCTAATAGACCAGTGTGAGCCCTCAGATAACAGTGTGGACCTTCAGAGTCCGAGTCGAATCATAGGGACGCTACGCGGGGACTGGGGACATCAGAAGTAGGTATAGGGGCTGGATCCTCAGAGGCACACGTGGCCGGAAGAGGACTATAAATTGAAACAGTTATTTCCGGAATTAAGTTAAAATGCATCCACGCGTTCAAAAATAACCGCGAAAAAATAGGGCCTCAAGCGACTTGGCGCCAGCAGTAGTGGACGCAATGAGCATCTCAACTATGCAATAGCCCTACGAGCTGAACCCTCGCCGGTCAAGATGGGGGCGGATGCCACTCCCTCAGGCGATTTTTTTCTCGCGATTGCTCGAAATGCGTTAGAAATATATAGGTGGAAGCTGAGAGTTTATAGTTGAGCGTAAATAAAGAATTAACACCATAAACAGAATATCACACACCCTTTATAAGACTGGGCCCTGTGGCTGACTGACCTTTGACCGGCGGCACGGGCACGTGAGCGGTGATGGCCAGGGGACTGGCCGGGGTCGGACTCTGTCCGTCCTCCTGTGAGGCTGGAGACGCTCTGTTGGCCACGTAAGCCTCGGTGATCAGTGGTCCGCCCTTGACGCACACCATGGCGTACATGTCGGGAGGCATGCGACTGGTGAAGTGCTCGGCCCCCAGCCTCTCCAGCACCTCCTGTAGCTCGGTGTCAGCCCGCATCGCCGGACCGATTTCACCCTGTCAAAAGCGAGACAATAATGACATCGATAACTCTGCATCCAATGCGTCCCTACTATAGTCGGGACGCAAATTGAAATGGTCCAATATATTGGACCATTTCAAGATTGCAGAACAAATCTCGCCGATATTTTGCTCTCCGCTCTGAAATTCCAGTTACCATAGTGAAGAGAACGATCGCATCTCTGTTCATTTTACAATAGAAGACTACCGCTCTCATGTATCCACTACTTACCATAGTGAAGAAGACGAGCACATCTTTTTGCCTTGCGGTGCGAACCAGTGCGCGCACTGCGTGACTGGCGCTCAACATCATCCACCCGGAGGCGACAGCATGGCCCTGCACCCTGCCGGTGATGGGATGCACGCGCAGCAAGTACAGGCCGCGCTCCTGCACGTCGAAGCCGCCCTCAGGACCGGCGGCTTCGCCCGGTGCGGCAAGCGAGTGCCACCAGGCCTGTGGGTGACCGAAAGGTGATAAACTTCTGACGAAAATATAGTATTTCCGTAATGAAGCAAACACAATGAACTATTATTGTTACTAGGCATTACATTCAAGGGAAGATCCTGGACTCAACCCAACTCACTGACTACTCTCGATGCATGTGAATTAACCCTCAGTCCACGTGCCCGGGTAAAATGGAAATCGGTGTTTTGACTATTTCTCATTTTCATGTGTTACTGGAAACAATCATATATTCTCTTTTGCTATTTAACACCAGTAGCACTCACCAGTTTTCCATTCACGTGCAATGTTGCATTTGTCTTCGTGGATAACAGCACCAACTTCAAAGCCCTCCGATACTCCAGTTTTTTGGTGAGCTCGTATTTTCTATCCAGCTCGATGTCTGAAGCAGATACTGCCTTGATAAAGTTGTGTAAGAGTACATTTCATTTATATTTGCTTTTAGTATTGACTAATACAATTAATGCGTTTGATTGCGAGCGAGCTCAAAGCGTGAAGCGAAGTCTTTTCAATATAACGGAAAAGGCTCCGTATTAGCGGCCCGGCCCGGCCCGGCCTATAAGGCTTTGGAGAGGCTTATAGGTATATCAGTAGCCCCTGGGCCGATTGGCCTGCGATCTTTTTTGCTGGGTAGCCCAATCCTTTCTACCCCACAATCGACTACTCCTGGCGCATCTAGGTGATAGTCGTAGCACTTGCCACGTGAAACTTCAAATATGCATAAGGTGTTCTGGCGGAAGTAGTCAATATATTTTATAGGCCTTATTTTTTTATTTCATATTTCTATGTATAGGCCTATATCTACTTTGTATATTCTGTTTTATCAGGCCCATGTATACCTATCTTCCGCTATCATCCTACTCTACCACCCGCTGGGCTGATAGATTTGTGGAATTTTTGTAGTTGGTGCATCCCTTCTACCAAGCATTGGTGCATTTGGATGATGGCCCCCACTGCATGTGCCACGTGCAAAATGAAAAGGTCTCAGGTTTGTTCCCTTTACAATAGCTCGGCAATTACCGGAGTGCTTTGCATTGAAACTTGGCATGCGCGGGTCAGGGGTAGGTGAACATGGCACCCGCCACCCACCGGGCAATGTATTTTCATGCGTCACGAAATATGGCTGTGACATGTGAACATGCAGCCTAAATGTGGATAATTATTACTTTGACCTGAACTCTGGCGTCATCCGTGACCTTGAGGTCAATAATTTAATTAAGCTCGACGGTTTCACCAGGACCGCCGTCTGAGTTTGGAAAATCAGATCAATAGTTTTGGAGAAAGGAGGGGAGGAGGGTAGTTGCGTTATCTTTTGCACCCGTAATTATTATTACCATTACACCACGCTTTTTTATAAAAAAAGTGGAGCCGATTCTCACACTCTCACCTTTCCCAATCGTGGCATTATTCCACGATTTCGGGGGCACGATGCCGGCGCTGCAGCACACCACCAACACCGAGCAGAGCACAGTCAGAGAAGAGCGCATCGCTGCCGAGCGCAGCATCCGACTGAGCTGGGCAGCCGACCTCCTCTCCTGACGCTCCGGAGAGCAGCGGCGGCCGGCCGTAGCCGCCGGCTACAAGGTTCACTCACCTCGCCATCCCAGCCGCCCGCCCGCTAGAGCGGGATGCTTTTGACAGCGGCCACTAGGTGGCATGGAGATCAGAGTAGATGGCAGCACATGCGCCAGCCACTGTATGATCCGATGCGACGTCATGAGGAGGACCGCGTATCAAGATCTCTGTCACCCATGTGCTATGCTGCACTTGGTGTGCCACCGCCACGGTGGCTGAGCCCGTCCCGCTGCGAGACGGCAGCGTTCCGGTGGGACAGTCGGGTGCAAGTTTATCGATAGGGACTCTTTATCCACCGGTTACCATCAGGCGCGGATCCAGGCGGGGGGCGACGGGGGCGGCCGCCCCCCCCCCGCCATCCGAAAAAGGCGCCCATATCCCGCGGCAGAGAGGGCGCCCCGAGCAGAAGAGCGGCGACACAGCAAAGGTTCAGCAGAAATAGGGCGCCTCCAGCAGAAGTTGGGCTCACCAAGCAGGAGAGTGACGCCCAATTGCCTATTCCCAGCAGATGAGAGTCGCCCCAGCAGCAGATGGGCGCCCCAGCAGAAGAGGGCGTCTCGTTGCAAGAATGTAAAATACCTTCTGTTCAAGAGGGGCGCCCCTGGCAGCGGAAGGGCACCCTTAGCAGGAGACGTGTCCCCCTGAAGAGGAGCGACGCCCCAGCAAAAGGAGAGAGGCGCCCCCATTCCGAGAAGAGGGGCGCCCTGACAGCAGCTGGGCGCCCCAGCAAAAAAGGAGCCCCATAATAAGAAAATGGGTGCCACTGGCAGAAGAGGGGCGCCCCAGCAGAAGAGAGGGGTCTCCAGCAGGAGACGGGCGCCCCAAGCAGAAGAGGGGCGCCCCAGCAGAAGAGAGGCGCCACAGCAAAAGTTAATCAGAAATGGGGAGCCTCCAGCAGAGTTTGGGCCCGCCAAACAGGATATGGGTGCCCCATTGACAATATCCGGCAGAAGACAGACGCCCCAGCAGCAGATGGGCGCCCCCGGTAGAAGAGGGGCGCCCCATTACAAAAAGAAAAGGAGTATATTCTACCAAGAGGGGCGCCCCTGACGACAGCGGAAGGGCAACCTCAGCAGAGGGGCGGTGCCCCAGTAAAAGGAGAGGCGTGCCCCGTTCCGAGCAGCAGAGGGTCGCCTCGCCCCAGAAAAAAAAAACAGGAGCCCCATAAGAAGAAAAGGGGTGCCTCTGGCAGAAGAGAGACGTTCCCCGCAGTGGAAGGGCGTCCCCACAAGAGTGGCGTCTCCAGCAAAAGAGAAGTGCCCCCTGCAAGAGAGGGGCACCCCACCAAAAGTTGGGCAGAAGTGGGGCGCCTCCAGCAGAATTTGGGGTCGCCCAACAGGAGAGGGCCGCCCTATTCACAGTAGAAAAAAGACTCCTCAGCAGCAAAGGGGCGCCCTAACAGAAAAGGTGCACTCGTAGTAGAAGTGGGACGCATCAGGAAGAAGAGGGGCACTTCTAGCAGAAGATGGGCGTCCCAGATAAGTGGGCCGCCTACAGCAAATTGGTCGTTCTTAGAAGGAAGAAATGAGGCGACTTAAGCAAAGTAGGTCTCTCCATAATGGATTAGGCGATCCAAGCAGAGGCTGGGCGCCCCCGGGAAGTGAGGCATACCAGCATAAGTGAGACGCTTCCAGAAAAAGGAGGGGGCATCACCGGGAGAAGAAGGACTGCACCAGTAAATGGAGGCCACCTTTTTGCTAATATCTTTTGCTAGGGTAGCGGTGCCCATCTACGACTTTTAACCCGTGCCGTGCTGGTGGTCTGAGTTTTCCGTGTCCTGCTGGGGAGGGGGGGCACACTCCCTCGTCTAACTCGGCTCCTGGGCCGCGTAGTGACACGCGATAAGCGGCATTCGAAAGATCGCCAAAAAAAAAAACAGGACGAAAACAAAACGGTCATTTTTTTAGGTCAGGTCGAATGTCAGGTCACCAGAGGTCATCAAAGGTAAAATGTGGCCTGTTTCAAAAATTTTCCGTTTTCGAAGCAGCGGCACATAACTCGGAAACCAATAGAGCTATAGCGCCGCAGAAAAGCGCATTCGATAGCCCTTTTAAAGGTGTTTCTGCAAGCTGCGCTCAGATTTGACCTCAGGTCAACGGTTTAGCCTTCAGAGGGCAAAAGACTCTAAAAATAGCCTTTTTACGAACAATGTTTTCCTGCAATAACTTTTGACTCGAGAGAGTCTCGACATTATGTTTGCCAGCATTGCGTTTCTGTCGTCGAGACACGTCGAACAAACTAAAGGTTGACCTTATGAAATGTAATTTTGAGAATTTGACCTCAGGTCAAGGTCATGACCTGACCGGGAAAGGTCATGCTGCATAGCAGTCGATGCGTATCGTCGAGCTGAACACAGCTGAGGTGTTTTTATCTCTCTAGCTTGAATCTATCAAAAGTTATTTAAAAAAAAAACTGCTGCGGACATTTCATGACATGGGATGACCTCTGGGATATAATGAGTGGTCACACTACAGGGTGATTTTTTTACAGGGCAAAAAGTTTTTAAGCCTAGAGATACCAAAACATACAACAAACGCGAAAATAGTATAACTACCTGAAAGGAAATTGTTTGTCATTTTGTTTTTAAGACCTTTTAGAAACTTCTTGGGACTCATTCTGTTGTGAAGTTCCGTGAAAATGGCGCACAACAAAATGTTTTCCCCAAAATCGCCAATTACTCAAGGCTTGCGTGCATTAAAACTGTGCTCACTTCGAGCACGTTCTGTAAGCCTAAACGGAGCTCAAGCTCAAAGTTTTTGTGTGCAAATGAAATGTCAGAATGTGCTTATTACAAAGATATACATATGCTGTCAGTTGATGTGTTTTCTGGTACCGCCATTGCTCTTTACTTTTTGCCCTGTATAAAAAAATCACCCTGTAGTTGCAATGTTCTTATTCAGTGTGTTAATTTTATATGTATCCCAATGCTTGATACTGTCTAGAATGGCGCTCGTCCAAAAGAGATGCCTTTCAGTTTTCTCCCAAAGACTTAATTATACCTACCTACCTAATGGAGACGTCGCACAACTGACCTGACCTTAAGATATCGAAATTCCGAAATATACGTTTCATGAATAGTGTTGCTTTCATCAATCGCTGAAAGGTTCAAAGCAATCATTCATTCGGTATAGCAATGGTAAGCACTTGAACTTTTTCTTAGGCTAGGTCACTTGGCATAACCTGGTGACCTGACCTTCCATCACCCGCGTCAGACATTTTTACAACATGTGCAAAAAAGATGCATGATAAGGTATGCTGAAAATGGCGGCGCTGCGCGCAGCCGTTTTTCAGATATTTGCGAAAACCTGAGGGGGAGCGCGATAACGCCCCCTAGCACGGCGCGGGCTTTTAGCTCCCGATTTTGACGGTTTGGCGCCCCCTTTGTATGGAGCGCCCCCGGATTGCCAGGTCGCCCCTATTTCGACTTGCCGCCCCCCCCCCTCCCGAAAATTCCTGGATCCGCCCCTGGTTACCATGGCCTCGGCACTCGCTGCAACCGCCTGGTACTGGTAGACTGTGCCGCATGACTTGAGAGTCATGCGGCACAGTCTACCAGGCGTAATATGCGGCACAGTCTATCTACTGTTAACGCCAGACGCCTTGAGACCCTAATTTTTCGCGATTATTTTAAAATGCGTGGAATAATTTCAACCATATTTAGGAAATAGCTGTTTCAAGACCTGCCGAAACTTTTTCTTCAAAAACATTTTGTTGTCACTTAAATATTTGTGGCACTTGTCATTGACTCGTAATGTTAACTGTTCTTCCATCCTGGATAGAGGCTTTCATACGTCATATGACATTAGGCTCCGCCCACGACTGCAGCATTGACCCGTGCCCATCAGTGACCTCTGTACAAACGACACCCCTGCCATCTGTAAAGGACTATGAATTTCGCTGACGTTTCACGTGCTATGAATCAATTGCAGCAGACCGTCAAGTAAATGTTAGGCTCTTGTTGACTCTTGTATAAAGGACCAAGAATTGTCTAATGAAGACAATATCAGGACCATCACTCCTCAACCTACTACTCACACGTGCTTCAAGTTCAAACAAACGTTAAGGATTCCTAACAAATACGATTGTCGATGTAGGATATCTGTTTGAAATACGAGCGAGCCTTATGATGTGAAGCGAAGGCAATCAACTTATTATTGCGTTGTTGGATAGTTGCATAGCTACAAATCGGCAGCTACTTGGTGAATATTATGATGTTAGAAAATGACCTTATGCTCATGATACAATGAAATGATATTAAAATAAGTCCAAAAAGTATTATGATATATTTCGACTTGCGTCGTCTTCAAAATGTACATTCAGAATGTACATGTACTTCAGAATGTACTTCAGAATGTACTTCAGAATGTACATTCTGAAGACGACGCAAGTCGAAATATATCATAATACTTTTTGGACTTATTTTAATATCATTTCATTGTATCATGAGCATAAGGTCATTTTCTAACATCATAATATTCATAATTATACTCAAACTAGCCATAGCTCACCTCCAACGAATCGAGCTACTTGGTGACATCCGACATCCAATTATCGCATTATATGCAACGCCATAGGCTTTAAATACAGGTGAATATTTCCTAAAGTTATATGCCATCTGCCCGTCATTTGCAGCTTATAAAAACTAAAACAAATATCAGCGAACATATCAGCATTGTACAAGCAATGCGCATTGAGCATTTATGGCTCTTCAGTCATCATGTCGCTCTTTGGGCACTGTCAGCCAAGACGTTACGCACAACTCCGCCGGCTCTCGGCACCACTCGACCGTCCCCGCTCCCCGCCACAGCGAGAGTGACCGCGCGCCGGCCCGAAACCGCCGCAGGCCAAGACCACAGAGGCGGGGCTTAGCTGTGACGTCATAACGTATCACAGACTGACTGGTGATAGCCTCTACACACCGGGTGAAAATCTTGCTCGAAATTTAACATTACGAGTCAATAGACGCGTTTACATAGGGTTTGTTGCAAGCTTATATCTCCGTCCGTGATGTTGCAAAAGA